GATCGTTCCGATTGGTTCAGAATGTTCGCCCGTCAATCAAATTTTTGGGTAATCTCCCATGGGAGAGTTTCGAGGGACTGAACAAATCATCTCCGCAAAACAAAATCAAAATATTAAAGAAGCGAAGACAGGAGCGTCGTCGATCTTGAATATTCGACGGGAAAACAGGGAAAATGTATTGAAGCCTAAACAGAAAATTGCCATTTACAGTCTTCTTCAAAGGAGAGATGTCGTGGCAATTTTGTCAACAGGTTTTGGCGAGAGCATGATCCTTACTGTCTTTGCTATGGGCAAAGAAGAAATGCCTCATCGAAAACCTGTACGATCGCAATTTCCTCTAAAAAGTTCTATAGACGACCAGATATCGGAAATGTTGTCGCTGAGCTGTACAGCAATGGAGCTTCCGACAGAAACAGTAAATTTGCTTCGAGAAAGTCCAACTCAATTTTCTCTATTACCCGGTGTTAGAGAATAACGCACTCCGGCGCTCTACTTCGAACGCTGTCCGCGATCGTGGTCGATGAATCGCACATAGTAGAAGAAAGACGCACAGCATAATTCTCCATACTTGGTGTAGCTTAAGTTTAAGCTACAACTCAAATCTGAAGATCGCCCTTCATCCGTAAAAATTCAGCTTCCTGCGAAGAAAAAAACTTAAAAGCCGGGCCCAGCGTCAAAACATTCACCGACACAGAAACTACAAACCACTGACAAACCAAGGCTCCTTGGTTTGTAGTTATCCAGATCCAGGCATTTTAGTCGGAGAAAACTAAATAGGTTAAATATTTATTTAGCCGTAATAAAAAGCTTTAGGCTTTAAGAGTGGTCAAAGAAATGAGTACTTTACAACTGCATCTTAGATCAACAAATTCTATCAGCAACACCTACAGAAGCATTAACCACAGGAAATAAGTACTCAATATGGATGAAACAAACCAGTTTCATCCATTTCATGTAAGACTTACTGCGACAAAAAAAAGATTTACTCAGTCAAGTTTAGAACGCAAAGTTGCTCCTGCCCCAATCTCCTCACGGTTTCTCTGCCCTCGCCCGCCCTATTTAGCGCGCGCAACCATAGCCGTCATGCTACGCAGGCTAGCTAGGTAAAGTTTCGATCCTAAAATTTGTAAAAACGTCAATGAAAGGTACGCTGAATTTATCTGTTGTTTTCTTTATTGCTCACACGGAGTTTCGAGAAAGCTGCTCAAATTCTCTGTCCATACAAGCCCAATGATAATAATAATAATAATAATAATAATAATAATAATAATAATAATGATGATGATGATGATGATGATGATGATGATAACATTTTCTCTTATAGAGGGAAACTTCGAGCAGATTTCTCGAAACTTAAAAATGCAAAGAAATGCGTTGTTTAGGACATGAGCCGTTTGGAAGCAAGAAGAATTAACTTTTTCTTATCTTTTTAATATCTTTCCAATTTAGATAAAATGAACGAGTCCTTTCATTCTGTTACTGACGAAGATCCCTTGGAATCCTTGCGCTCCAGCGTGCATGAATTCTCAGACTCATTCCACTCAGCGCTCTCAACATCTGACATCGACAAAAAGATTGACGCTATTAGTAATTGGGTTAAAGAGCAGAAAAAGGAAGCCGATGAAGAAGCAAGAAAAAAAATCATTGAGAGTATGGGAAATGTAGCTACTGCAACAATAAGCGGGTTAGAGAAGATGGAAAGTGGAGATGTCCTGGGTGGTACTTTGGAAATCATTTCAAGCGTCGTGGCGCTTGCCGGTGAGGCGGCCGGCGGACCTGTTTGGGCGACAGTTGGGGGAACAATTTGCAGCGTCATTGGTGCCATTCTTGCTTCGAGACAACCCAGGCAGCCAAGCATCATAGAACAAGTGGCCGACGTTGTACATAAAGAGTTGGTCGAATTTAACAGCAAGTTATAAGACCAGAAATGTGACGGCCTGAAACGTCGCGTGTCAGACCAGACCGCCCAGCTGCAGAAGATGAAACCAGGTGAAAAGCTGGACGATCCTAACCTGTGGAACGACTACGTGCAGTTTATGGGAGAACTGGGTAACAGAATCCAGTCACCACTACCATATAAGTACAGCGATAATTTGACAAATGATACAGATGTGGCAGATTTTGTAAGAGCATTGATGACTTACTGTAAAGCTTTCAGTTGTTTTAATTCGCTTCTTCTAATCGCCAAAGGAACATTTGCAGACCTTGGAAGCGAGCATAAAGAGGATGACGAAAAAGCGGATCGGAAAATCGACGGCCAAAAGCAAGATTTAGAAAAAAATTATCTTTCCTGTTCGGTGAGAAGTACTTGACATTTCTTGGACGACTTCCGTCAGAAGAAGGAAAACTGACAAAGTTGGTCGCCTTCAGTAGAAACGCAGAAGCGAGGCGCATCGTAAAAATGACAACACGCGGGTTTGGTTTCCCTGAGATACTGGATTACGAAGCAGTTGAATCAAAGGCAGAAATCGTGTCTCGCCAGTCAGTGACATTAAAACTAGAGGGCCATCCAAATATTTTCGATTTCAGTCGGATCAATGGCCGCATAGGCGTGATGCAATTTATCAACGAAACACAGTATCCAATGAAAGTTATAGGCGGTGTTAAAAAAAAGTTCACACAAGTTCTTCAGCCTCGATCATCCTCAGATTTAGACATATCACACCCCTGTGCTGGGGGGTATGTCCTTATTTACTTAGACGGGAAGCTTCGTCCAGACGATGAACCCCATAGTGCAGATGAAACTATGGTAATCGAATTTGCGTATTATTTAGGTTTTGGAAAACCAGGAATAAATATCCAGAACAAACCTTGCGGTGAGTTTACCAGGGGCGAGGATGCCTACAAAAAGGTTAATGGCGAAAGGCAGAAACACTTCTATTGGAAGACAAAAGAAGTACACCACATGGCCAGTGCAGAAATGCGATTAAAAACAGTGGGCCTGCGTCCTGTTGTCACCATACACCGATGGCGCTATGTTTTCCAAGATTTCGACCCTTCCACTGATATTGTTACTGCGCCTAAAGGTTAAGTCTGTATCCGATAAATAAGTAAAATTACCTAAGTTTGTATTAATTGTTATTTCAATCTTTATTATTTCCATTTTGAAATCACTGGTGATCCCTGCAATCTGAATGGATCTCAGAAGTGTGATTTATTCCCGAATCACAGCTGTTTTTTGCTTTAAATCACATCTGTTCTAAATCGCATCATTTCTGTTTTAAATCGCACCATTTTGCTTTATATCGCATCATTTCTGTGCGAACGTAAAATGAGATGTGAAAGCCTTTTTGTTTCCGCTTTTCAACAAATCGGCTAATTGATCAATAAAGTTTATTGGTACTGAGAGTGACTGAATTCTGCGATTTCAAAATGGCTGTAATAAAGTGGTAATTGAATTTCGTGTCATGCAATTTTGGTCTGAAATCATACTTGTGATTTCAAATCAAACTCGCGCTGCAAACTCGTCCGATTTGCGCGCTCGACCAAATTGCACTCCACTCAGTTCAATTACCATTATTAGTCCACAAGAATGTGGACTAATGTTGTAGCGAAAAACGCTAGCACACGTGAAATCACCTTCCACGAGGGAAGGCGTGAGGAAAATGTATGATCAGGCTTCCTTTACTTACGGTCTGAATGATTAAGGTGCTCTTATAATAAAATTATATGAAGTCTGGTGTATTTTGGCAGCCAAACGAACTGTCCGTTAAAAAGGGCCCGAAGGCCAAAATTTGAGTCATGGAAGGCGTTAACTACCTTCATCAGTCCCAAGAGAGAATAAAAGGACAGGGAGGGCATCTTAGGGAGTGATATGTGAATTTCACTACAGTTATTTTTAGATCTTTTAATTAAACGGAAGTCTAATTCCTCGAACGTTCGCACATTTTAATTGATTACTTGAAACGTTATCAAGTCTACGCGCCGGCGCGCGACTGCCTCAAAGCAAAAAACGCAGAATATTGTAATGACGACTGTTGAATTCTCTGTCGACAAAACTGAATAAAGGTTTGCGGATCTCGCTGGAAACCAACTTCCTATATACTTTTGGTCTGAAAATGACTTTGGTGAAATTCGCATATCCCAATACCTACACTGGGCGTTTCCTAGATACTAACACCAAATTGGGGAGACCGTGATAATAGAGAGGTACGTTATAAGATGTTAGACTGTATTTTATGAGTACAACAATGCGTATTTTTCTTTCCCTTTCAGATACTGGGTTATGTATTGTCTCCTAAATTTCGTTCTGTGGACAAGCCGCGAAAAAGATGGATACTAACTACTTCGAAATTTTAAAAATTAGCAGCAAAACCCCGATTGTAAACCAATGAGTTTAGAGACCAGGTCTCTCAAGAAAATATGGATCAGTGAAAAAAGACAAAGTTGAAGAAACAACGGCTAAATGCTCACGGCGAAAAGAAGAAACTCTTTCTCCTTTCCTCTTATAGAAAGGCCTCATGCTCAGGCTATGTAACACTGTATATATGCATAGTGGTACAAACTAGAATTGTCCAATTATTATACATAACCCCATTTCCCAGTCTAAATTTTGTCCTAATCATAGTGTCTAAACCTACTCCCAACGCGTTCTCCTATATATTCTTGCCTAGTCCTCTCCTTGTCCCTGTATGGCGTTTTCCCAGGACGTTTGCGATGGAAAGTCACTATATTTTCCCATTCAGGCATCGGTTAGGGTTGCCTATAAAGAAATTTACAAAAAATGCTGTGATGTCTGTGTTAGTATGGCTTCCTTTAGCGGTCAGTTTAAGTCTGAGCCACACCCACATTGGTCTCCCTTAGGGGTTTCATGTTCATTTTCCGACCATCATCGCCCAGTCCGAGTTGTTAGTATACCTGAAAAGAATTTTCCAGAAAAGTCTATTAATACTTCATTTGGACATCAGTTGAGTCGAGAAGGAAGGTTGTGTTTCCACACACCGAAAAACTGACTGTCGATGAGATAGTTCAAGTATTTCGATGTTACGTTATATAAAAGCCTGTAAGACGCGGTGCCGTTATTTACCAAAACGTTTAAGCGCATAAAAATTAACACAAATTTTCTTTAGCTGAATATCAATGAACCTCATTAGCAAATAGATATGAATGTTGAGATTGTAAAAACACCATGATCTGGAAGACGATAGATAACAGTGGTGCTGTTCTGTGGAATAGTCCTCCTCAAACATTAAGGCAAGCAGAACCCCTAAGTAATTTTAAGTCACTTTTGCACAGTAATTACAATATCAAGTAAGGCACGGCTTTCATGGAAAACAGGCTCTTTTTTTTCGTATATACTTAATTGAATATTTTTAATACTGTATTTAGCGGAACCCAGTAAATGTAATTAAGGTTTTATAAATTTTTTATAATATTTCATGCCTGATTAATTTGTAACACCGTGCATAAATAAAGATCACCTTACCTTACCTTTGAAAAGTTGTCCTGTTATGATAAGGCCAATCTCCGGAGTAATATAATTTCATTCCCCACACTCTGTTGTCGTAAAAAAAGAAAACAAAACATCCTTTACAATAAAAGTATAAACCCTAATGTCCCCATAACATATCAAAATATAGAAAAAAACACATTGTTTTCACCCGGGATAAAAAACTCAGCTGAAAACTGAACAAGACAGGGACCAGGAACAGCAGTGTCGGCTGCTGGTTAGGTATTAATAAAAAAAAAAAATAATAAAATAACGCCTGATCTCAGGTTAGGGTATTAAAGACGAAATGCACATTGCGGCACGGAAGCGAATGTTCAAGATACAACGTAAAGGATCCCTGCACTGGATGCAAGATGGCCTGCGAGCAAGCTCTCCTGGGGTTCCCGGGGCTGGGGGCTCCAGAGCGCTGCGGGTGCAACAGCCTTTTCTGACTATTCTGGTTCTAGCCCGTCAGTGCCTCGCAAAGTTTCCGGTGAACAGTCCGGGCCTCAACCAGAACTGGATATATGATTTCCTGTCATCTGATTGGCTTACGCAAAACCAAAACATTGCTTAGACCGCAAAAAAGGACTAAGGCCGAGAGAAATGGCGGCGATGTCGCGCCGAAAGCCTCTCCAAAGATACTCATGATACGATAGAATCCTTCCGATCTATCGATCTATCGACTTTTAGAAGTTGCAGAAAATTCCATCACAAAGTCGTTTTCTTTATTTTTCTTTACTGGAATTACGTGACTCACAGAAGCTCGCGAACTATAAGCTTTAATCTGCAACCTTGTTTACGACTTCTTCGCACGATGTAGGCCGCCTCATCTCAAGTTCTCAATCTGGGAGAGCCTAGGAAAGTGAACGCTACCTTAAAGCGTGCATACATAAACAAGCGTAATTATTTCCTTGGTGAATACTCAGCTGAATACAGGCAAGTTCCCCCCCACTTACTCCTGTCAGTCTAAAGGAATGGTATTTTGAAGGGTGGAGTTAAAGTTTACTTAAGGTGGCTCCGTAATTAATACCAGAGCATTTTGCTGTGACAAATTTTCCGTCATAACTTTTTGGTTTTTAACGCGATGGCTGCGAAACTTCGCAAAAAACAACAGACATCATTCGGCAATAATACGAAATGTTCCGATTTCATTGATGGTAAATAATTCTTGAGAAATTAGCGCTTAAAAGGACCCTACTGTTCAAAGAAAATCGCGTCTAGTAAAAAATTTTGCTGATATTTTTTACTGAAATTTCTGGTATCGGCTTTAATTGATATAATAAATATGCCAGAGGAATTTCAGAAAAATCGTTGGAACAGAAGTCCGTAACTAAAAGTCGCTCAAAATTCAGCTGTGAAATTGTTTTGGAATTTCAAAAATAAATTACTGTCAGGTAGAAGAAGCCACCAGTTTGAATTTTCGGGACAAGTAAATTCAACGTTTGCTAATTCTTAAAACAAAAGCCGATTGCCTATCGTGCTATTCTTTAAAAGGTACTTTTTAGTTTTAGAAGCACTATAAATTGCTCCAAACTTTGCTCTGAAGTAGAATGACTTGTTCTTCGACAGTTTTAAAATATCCCTTGGCAGTTTGGCTCAAACTCCTGCTACATACATTTTGATGTATTGCAATGCATTTTCAACGACTTTTACTGCTGTTCGTTGCTTCCAACTCAGGAAAAAGTATTAAGATTGGACGCTACCTCGTATCAGAGCTCAGAAAAGAACTGTCCAGCACCTTTGTTTATGACTACAAAATGAGCACGAGCGGCAGTTCTGCGAGGAATTCGCACCTCACCCAGGGGACGAACGACAATGATGACCATGCCCGTGAACTGAATAACATCACAGTGCAAAATAAAATTATCGCAAAAATACTGCCCGTGAATAAATTTACAACTCCGAAATTTTTGTCCTCCTTCCTTCAATAAATGGGTATTTTTTCTTGATTATTATGTTTAGCCTGCAATACATGTTTATACAGATCGGTTCACAGACATGGGCATCATTGTCATTCGTCCCCCTGGCTGAGGTGTGAATTCTCGCAGAGCTGCCGCTCGTGCTCATTTTCTGGTAATAAACAAAGGTGCTGGACAGTTCTATCTGAGCTTCGATACAAGGTAGCTTACAATCCCTATACCTTTTTCCTGAATTGGAAACAACGTACAGCAGGAAAAGCCGTTGAGGATGCATTGCAATACATCAAAATGTATGTAGCAGGAGTTTGAACCAAAACTGCCAAGGGATATTTTAAAAAATGTCAAGGAAAAGTCATTTGACGTCAGAGCAAAGTTTGGAGCAATCTATAGTGCTTCTAAAACTAAAAAGTATTTTTAAAGAATAGCACGATAGGCAATCGGCCTCTGTTTTCAGAATTAGCAAACACTGAATTTACTTGTCCCGGAAATTGAAACTGGTGTCTCCTTCTTCCTGATAGTAATTTATTTTTGAAATTCCAAAACAATTTCACAGCTGAATTTTGAGCGACTTTTAGTTACGGGCTTTGCTCCAACGATTTTTCTGAAATTCCTCTGGCATATTTATTATATCAATTAAAGCCGATATTAGAAATTTCAGTAAAAAATATCAGCAAAATTTTTTACTAGACGCGATTTTTTTTGAGGAGTAGAGTCCTTTTAAGCGCTAATTTTCAAGAAATATTTACCATCAATGAAATCGGAATATTTCGTATTATTGCCGAATGATATCTGTTGTTTTTTTGCAAAGTTTCGCAGCCATCGCGTTAAAATCGAAAAGTTATGACGGAAAATTTGTCACAGCTAAATGCTCTTGTCTTAATTACGGAGCCACCTTAACGAAAACCCTACATTTCTATTTTTCCGTAAGATCTTCGAGATGGAGCGCTTTGCATTACTGGAAGCCATCTTCGGGATGATGCCTAACCTCACGGTACATATGAAACCAAAATGGCCGCCGGTACTGGTAGCGCTCGATACTGACGACCATCATACGAAAAAATAGGGGACTGTGAAGTCTCCTAGTTCTTGTGCAAGACCAAAGCCCTGTCGGTTGTATAAATATGTATTAGACAGCAAACGACTTCCTAAAGTTCTGAGAAATTTTGACCAATATTTAAAAGAGGATTACCCCGAAAAGGTCAAAAAGGATCACTGAGGGTGAAAAGAAGGAATTATGTTTCGCTTTCAATCTGAGTAGTCATGAATCAGTGTTCCCGTATGATCGCTTTGGCTTGAACAGAAAAATCAAAGAAACAACAAAAGCAAAGTTTTCCGATGAAGGTGGTTTTATCTTTCGTAGCTGCCATGATAGCCTGTGCACAGACCCCTCCACTCAGGATTTTCCCTGAGGGCTACTCCCATGATCAACGCCCAGTTTAGACACGAAAACAGTACTGTTTTTCTTTCCTTGCGTGATTTGCTTAGTTGGGCGTAGCTTAGAAGAGTGTTTTTTTCGAGGTGTTTTCCTGGAACACTTGATCAGCATTGGATCGCAAGTCACATGCACATCACGCTGAGGAAGGTCCTTTTAATTTTCATCCAGCGCCAGGAGCCGATTGCCCGCGCACTATCGGTGTTATTTTTTCTTGTCGATTCGAAAGTTTCGGACCTGAGATTGTGGCCGTAAATAGCCAACACAAGGGTAAGTAATGTCGTGCAGAACTGCAATGATGTTTACCTGTCACAGTGGTTAAAACAAGTGTTAAATTGCGCGCAGAACAAATGAATGCGAGTTGAATTGTCTTCCGATCTTAAAGTGGGGACAAATTCAGCTGAATCCGCTTTCCCAAGCAAAATAGAATAGAATGCCTACCTTTACATACGTGTTTACATGCATAAAAGGACTCTGATTTTTCAGCTTCGTTTCACGATTGTATTTTATCCATGATTTATCACAAGTATAGCGTAAAATTCAACTGTTTGTGACCTTAAATTATAACCAAAAAATTGTTCTGCCTGAAGACTTAACTTGGCTTCTATGCAAAACAGAGCTGTGTGGTGCATTTTAACCCAAACTATATTTAATTGCGCTGTCATTTTACGAAGATAGTTTAGATGCACTTTTGCGCTGCCCCAAATGGTTATGTTGCTCGCATTGAGAGCTTATGTCAATACACTGAGTAACGGATATCTGATAAGCAGCGTACGTCTTTCACGTGCTCTCTCTTAGTTCCGGCTTTCTTACTAAGGAGGGGGACACGGGGATTGAATGCGGTGTTGTGGCACAGGGTCCAGAGAAGTTTCGTGTGAATAAATGAATTACTTATTTAAAGTCTCACCTTGAAAAATGTCTATACCTGTCGCTTAGCACGATTAATTAGCCCAGTGGGATCTTTATAAATCTACTGTAAACTATTTCTTAGCTTCTTATCTGACCCAGATCGACTTTTGAAAATCAATAACCCCAAGCCATATCCTCCTCCATATCCTCGCACGGCACGTCGCCCGAAGGGCGACCGAGGCAAGAAGTATACTGTAAGCGGATCTTGCGAGCCCTCAGTCTCTTGGTTTGCGGTCTATAGAATGTGTAACGAAACTGTAACGCGATCAAAATAACCCATTTTTTCAGAGGTTTTCGACAGGTTTCGTCTGGACCTTGAGGTTGCGGTGAATAAAAAGCCCATCTTGCGGTGTTGCGGTGTTAAACCGTGCGGCGTGCGGTGTTTCTGGTTTTAAACCTACGCTGAAACGAAGTAACTTGCGAACACTGTGCAATGTTGTGGTTTATCATTTGGCCGTAGTTACTGAAACGAGGAACCAGGCAAAACGAGCCAAACGACCTAAACGATCCACAATGACCCAAAGTGATAAACAACGAGTGATCAAAACTAATAAACAAAAGATCGACAACGACCCCATAAAACAAGTCAAAACAAGTTCTGCCCTCCTAGGAACGTCGGGTAAAATTGATCTCACTGCTTTTTTTATGGCAGGAGCGAAGCCTGATCTGTGTGGTCTTTTTATACAAAAAAGACTTCAAAACAAATGGATAACAGGCGAAATCTGCATGGGTTTGTTTTTTTTCACGACTGTCATGGGCGTTGTATGCATTTTTCTATCTGCAAGACGAAGAATAGAGTTCGCAAAAATAGGAAAAACTCACTCTCTACTTATCACTAACCAGCTATGGAGATTTGGATTAGATTAATCGTAGGACCAAAATTAAAATTGCGATGTCGGTGCTTAGCCACTTTTTTTTGTGATGCGGTTTTTGTTTTTTTTTTCTACGGCATGTTGCGGTGTGGACGGTCCCCCAATGCCCCCCTCACTGTAACGGTAATGAATTTTCAGTTCCTTTCCTCTCCCGTTATATAATTACTTCTGACGATTTACCTAGATTTGGGATTTTTTTCATTTTAATATACGGTATTCGTATGAATAATTCTTGGCGTTGTCGAAACGTCGTGATCAATAGCATACTGACCGTGAAAGAAACGATAATCGAACGTTAACCTTCACATGCCACAATAAATAATATCATTCATTGTATTTTAAGGTGATTGCTCCAGACAACACCATTACAAAGTGAAAAATCACTTGTCTTTCTCCTTTCTCACTTCTAGGCCTAAATAATGGCTGCACGTTACCACAGTCATCGTCAAAGTCCATCTCTTCCATGCCCCGATATTAAAGAATGTCTGGACTCATTGCGTAGGTGTATGTCAGATTTTGCGGACTCGAATACCAATCTAAAAATAGATATCGAAAGGAAGCTAAGTAAAATAGAAACTTGGGTTACAAAACAAAACAACAACAGCGAGGAAAAAACGAAGGAACTAACCCCTGAAACAGTGGGTAAAGTTCTTAAAGTTGTCCAAGTGACGGTGAATAGTATCGAGAAATTCAAAAGTGACGATCCCGTGGATATCGCTATAGGAGTTTTAAACATCGTCTCTTCGATTGGGTCCGTCTTTGGTGGACCTTACGCGCCGATAATTACTACAATCTGTGGCATTATTAGTACGATTCTCAGTTATGGCAAGCCAAAACATGCACTGCCAAGTGTGGTAGATCAACTCGCAAAAGTCGTGCACAAGGAACTAGTCAACTTCAATCAAAAGTTGCATGATCAAAGATTCCAAGGTTTGCAGGATCGCGTATGCAACCAGACATCTCAGCTACGTACATTGAAGTCAGCGGAAAAACTAGACGACACCAACTTGTGGAATGACTACGTTCAATTTATGGGTGAGCTTTCCAACAGATTAGAGTCACCTTTGCCATTCAAATACGAAAAAGGATTGTCCCTCTCAGAAGATCCTGACGTGGCAGATTTTGTGACAGCTGTGGTGACTTACAGCGAGGCGTACATCTGTTTCATGGCATTTTTGTTGGCTGCGAACGGACGATTTGCAGATCTTGGGAGAAAAGAAGACGAAGATGTGGTCTATCGTATTATCAAACGCCAAAAAGAGAAAGCGAGAGAAACGCTCGCATTCCTGTCTGATGAAAAATATCTGACATTTCTTGGGAGGCTTCCCTATGAAGGAGGAAAACTGATGAAAATCGTTGTTTTAAGCCGAAACACATCAGGAAAGAGGCTCGTAGAAGCAGTCAGACGTAGCTTAGATTTACCGCAATTACCTGATTCTGCGACAGTTGAATCTGAAGCAAGTAAAGTGTCCAGTCAGTGCGTTAAGTTAAAACTGGAAGACCATGACACTCACTCTCCCCAGAATTCTGTATTTCCTCAGGGCAACAAAGCTGTTGTGGCGTTAACAAGAGTGCTGGTAGGTGTCATATATATTGAGTTCGTTAACGAAACAGATTTTCCCATGAAGATTGTTTCGGGTAAAGTTGGATGGAGAACATTACGTTCCTTCACTTTCACACATGATGTCCAATCTCGATCAAATTGCTGGCTGGAAATCTCACGTCTGCCAGGCACCTCGGGGTTTTCAACCGGGGGGTACATTATTCTCTACCAGAACGGAATCCTAAGCTCCGAAGTAGAACCACCTGCGTCGAATGTTAGAGTCATTGAGTTTGCTTTGTCAAGTTTAATGAAAATCAACATCCAAGACAAAACCAGCAGCGAGTTCACCAGTGGTCAAGACACTTACGACAAGATGAATTCTGGTAAAGCCAAGACACTCTACTGGTTTAATAATGGGGAACACTTCATTGCAAGAGCAGAAATAACTAGATATCTATCTAGGCCGGTGACCTTTCGATTTGTTGTTCAGGACTACGATCCTTTGGCGGTGAGTGATTAAACAAAAACAGGATTTGATGGCTTGATCGGATGGAACTGAGTCGATCAAAACCTGAAACGCCGATTTACGAAGAAATTGACCACATTCATTGACTACGAGTATACTGAAAACTGATTAGTATATAATGATTGTATGGAAAATTCAGTGAAGGCAGTAGGGAACAGCGGAAAAAGGAACGGGGAACGGGGAACGGGGAACGGGGAACGGGGAACGGGGAACGGGGAACGGGGAACGGGGAACGGGGTACGGGGTGCGGGGAAAGAGCACGGGGAACGGGAAAATGAAAAATGGTAACACTGTAGCCCTTTTAGTAACTTCATTCCAATTCTCTGTTTCGTTCCCCAGGTTCCCCGCTCCCCGTGCCCGTTTCCCGTTTTTATAGTAAAACCATTAAATCAGTGTTGAATGGCTTGCTAATTCAATGTTAAGCCTCCAAGGGTTGATAGATTGATATGATTTGGATTTCGCTAACATGATTTGCCGAATCTGGAAGTAACACTATTGCAAAAAGGCATAAAAGGAATACAGCAATGAATTTTTCAAAACAAAGAGTACTTCGTCTATTACGTTGTGTATCATGCGTAAGAGAACCATGAACTATTCAATACCAATTTTTTTGGACCTAAATTGCGTAGCCTGTTACTCTATCACAGTTTTCTTCAGCAACACTACATTACGTGTTTCATATTAAGCTGTCATTTAAAAAGGGGACAACGAAAAAACCTAAACACAGAGTAAAGAAGGTTTCCAGTTGTAGTAATCTGACGAAACAATGATTTATTTTGCATGATTATATTCGGTAATTTTAAGCGGAGAACCATGAAGCATTCAATAGCCAGTTGGTTTTGAACTTGTTGAATTTTTTGTCAGTGGATACAGCGTTATTTGACTTCACCAAGCTGTTTTCGAAAATACAAAACAGGGGAAATCTGAAAAAAATATTTAGGGTAAGTTAGCCTTAATTTAACAAAATGACATTGAAGTCAAATAGCGAAGAAGTATCTAAACTACGTCATGGAACATAAACAGGAAACAAAAACATCAAAACTTTGAAAAACCTAGAAAATTTAAATTTGGCTGCTTCATCAGTAGGATTCCTTAAATGTTTTCGTTTTAAACCTGAAACCCGTTTACCAACAATCGAAAATGAATCTGCTTTCGGAAGGAATCATTTTTTTAAGATACTCATGAGATAAAGCTGTGTTACCCGAAGGATAGATCGGTTAGTGGAAATATTTTTAGTATCAACAGTATAAATTAGATATATTGGACTGTTACTGATCTGAAAGCCGACACTTGAGTGAAAACAGTTTCGTTCCTTCCCATCTAACTTACTACTTTTTTAAAAAAAGCTTTCAATGTTTATACTACTACATGAAAAATTTCTGCAATTTGATTGGCTTAGAGAACAGTGGTATCTCAGCTTTTAATTTGAAATAACTACATGTGAAAATAAGAAACCCTTTGCGGGTAGTAATTAAACAAATAATAGAGAGTTTTAGATCGGAGTTTACCGCAAACCTCTAACCGCTGGAGGTCACGTGACAAGTCTTTCACGTCACGTTTGAGGTTTACGACGTGCGTTTTCAACGTGGGGAGGTAGGTTTTCACGTATGTCATTTACCTGGAAGATTTTAGCGTATAATTCTTGTTTCATCCCACGTAATGATACAAAAATCTTTTGGAGCAAGTCTTTATCCATTAACAGAGGCACAAATTCGGGCGAAATGCTAAATTTGATAAATCCTATTGGATCTTGAAAACAAGTGCCATTCATGGCTGCTGATTTAAAATGGCTGCCGTAGTTTAATCCACCGCCAATCTAAATCGAATTATGTTTGAACGTCGAACCGCAAACGGGTAACCGCAAACCGCGGTTAGAGGTTCGCGGTAAACTCGGATCTAAAACTCTCTAATAGCATGATTTGTACGTGATATTTGGCATAAATACCCCTCGTGATATTTCAAAATCGTCTCATAATGTATTGGGTAAAGCTGTTTTTACAAAACGAAAAAAACAGCAGAAATGTTACTGAAATACAGTCCAGAGATTAACTTGATTTCATAAATAACTTTGAAGTGAAACAGCTCAAAAGTATTCAAACAATGCATTAGATCATAAACATGAAGAGTTAACTCAAAGATAACTGAGAAATTGATGAAACTTTGCGTTTATAATACTAGAAAGAAATCGTTGAATTGAGGGATCTGTAGAAAAACCTTTATGAAGAAGATTTGTTACACTAAAAAGTAGAATGATTTTCTTGACGTATAACTTATGTTTTAAAATTGATTTAGCATACAGAAACATGCTGTACGTTGTGGACACGGGTCTAGTCAACTAGAATTGACGTAATGACTTGAGCTGTTTTAGAAAATACGAAACAGGGGAAATCTAAAATAAAAATACTTAGGGTAAGTTTGACTTAATTTAATAAAAGATATCAAAGTCAAATAGCGAAGAAGTATCTAAACCACCTCATGGAACGTAAACAGGAAGAGTTAACCCTTTCACTGCCAGAGTGTTTGGTAGAGTTTTATGAGGTGACTCTAACTTTCGAGTTTTTGGACGAAATCCTATGATGTCACCATTCAAATCAAAGCTCTCTACCTGTTCTTTCACATGATGCTATTTGTTTGTCAAAATGTTAGATAAAGAAATTTGGAAATTTGGTCGAAATTTGCCTTTGGCCACATTTGGCAGTGAAAGGGTTAACTCGACCGTAAGTAATTTAAAATTACACTTCCCTACTTGTTGTGATCCTTATGTTAACGAACAGTTGTATACAGCCAGCTTATAACTGAATACGTTTAAGCAGACAGAGAAAAATTCATTCCGTCAAGGACTGGATCTCGATACCATTGCTTTATAGTGTTTTTGGACTTGACAAAATTATTTCTAAGTAATAACTTTAGGTCAAATTCTTGCGGACAGTAAGAACTGCTGCGGGGGTATAAAATGTATGACAAAGCTTAAAGAGTAGTTAACTTGCAATCAATTTGGATTACTCTTAACACCGAGTGTAATCAGGGATATTGGACTTTCGGCTACTTTATAGTAACACTTCAGACACTTGAGAACAGTCAACCAGGGTAATTCCGTTTCCGTGCCCCGCTGAGGGTCCGTAAGTCCATCTCGTGGCAAAAGTCACGACAGGGAACCCAACGAACTGTTTTAATTTATTCGTATTGATCAGTTGTGTTGTTTGCGCTTGAATCATTGCTTATTTCAATGTTATATTTTTTTGACCGAGCAATTTGTTAATTGGGCGAGGCTGTTTAATGAAATGTATTGAGAAACGAAGAATCAAAATCTAACATCAAAACTTTATAAAAAAACTGGAAAAGTAAATTCGTCTGCTTCCCGTTTTTATAGTAAATCCATTAAATCAGTGTTCAAAAAGTCTTTTACTAGAATTGGTGTGACTATTTTAAATTCTATTCCGCTTTCTGTAAAAACTCTTAATGTGTCTAATTTTCGTAAAAAAGATAAAATCACTACTCCTTAATGTTTTAGATAACGAAGATAATTATTTGAATGTTACTCATTTTAAGAAATTAACCTGATACGTAATTAGTTTCAGAGTCTATTTTAGACTGCAAAACAGTCGGTTTTTTTCTCAAAATCAGTAAAGAAATCGGTAAAGCGTGCCGTACACCGGTAGGGCGTGCGAGACGAGAGAAAAAAAAAAACGTATTTTTAGCGTCTCTGCCCAGGTCTCGCTCTCTGTTTTCAGCCTCGTTCCAGACCTTTTGTTTGACTTCTCGCGCGTACTTGAATACGCAAAAATACGGACTGTTTTGCAGTCTATGTCTACTTTCAAACAAATCGGATTATCCCTGTACTTGAATTTATATGTTAGGTGTTTCTTTCTGTATGTTATTGTATTTCTATTCTTTTCCTTTCTCTTTACTCGTGTAATTTAATATCGTCTTTATTTTAAAATTTTAATTGTCCTGCCTAGATTAGCATAAAAGCTATTTGCGGGGCATAAAGTATTGCAAACTTTATAGTTCTGTAAATGAATACATTGTTGTCGTTGTTGTTGTTTCCATTGGCGTTTCCAAAATTGTTGGTAAATGGAAAACGCCCCGTATGACTCCGGCGGATGGGGGTTGGGGGGTGGGGAGAGGGCATTCCTAGGAATTCTTGCTTAAAGTGTACCACCAAGTTCTCTGAATCCTTACCCTGTTTCGGGCCAAAACGTGCCATTTTGCACAGTCGTTCTCAAACTTGTTCTCTCTAAACCCATACTTGTTTTCTCACCCGCTTATTTGGGAAAACGTTTCTTCCTTTCCTTGAGTGAGCAAAAATGTGAAACGTCCTCAGCATCAAAGCATAGTGAGAAGCAGGCTATGAAAGCTTGCACGATATCAGGTGCCGCATGTAAGAGCTTAAAATCAGCACCCTTTCAATGTTTTTGGAGGATTATTGAGAATTAAACATCATTTGGAATAAAGCAGATATAACAGGGATTGATGTCCTTCTCTCTCTCGGTTTAGATTGAAATGGAATCATCTACGTCTGGCGGAGAAAAATGCGCTACTTTCTTTAGTGATCTCGAGGAACAGATCAAGTCTTTGCAAAAGAGTCTGTCTCATGTTTCTGCCTCGGGAGACTCACTGAAATCCTCTTGCGAAGCCAAGTTGATTGAGATCAATGCATGGGTCACTGAGCAGAAAAAGAAAAGCAAGGAAAAGTCAGAGAAAATACCCATTGAAAATGTGGGTAAAGCTCTCCAAGCCTCAATAAATGGCATGAAAAAGTTCAAAACAGGTAGCGGGAAACTGGAAGTTGCTGAAGGCATTTTGGAGATAGTAGCAAGTATGTCAGAGTTAACAGGTGAACCTCATAATCCACTGAAAGCAGTCTGTGTAATCATCAGTGCTGTTCTTGCTTACAAGAGACCGGAGGAAGCGAGTGTGGTAGATCGTCTCGCAAAAGTTGTACACGAGCAACTGGTAAACTTCAACACAAAATTGCAAAACCATAAATACAATGATTTGAAACGCCGCCTGTCAGACCAGGTAACACAGTTGTGTACGATGAGGTCAGGGGAAAGGCTAGATGATCCCAACCTTTGGAGTGATTTTATTCAGTTCTTAGGTGAGCTGTCAAACAGATTTGAAGCTCCTTTGCCATTTCAGTATGACAAAGGATCTCTCACAAAAGATCCTGATTTGGCAGATTTTGTGACAGCTGTGGTGACTTACTGCGAGGCTTACAACTGCTTCATGGCTCTTCTGATGGTTGCTAAAGGAACATTTGAATCCTTGGGGCAGGAGTACAAAGACGATCAAGATGCTGTGAATCGAAGAATCAGCTGTCAGCAGAATGATGCTCGAGGAAAACTATCCTTCTTCTCAGATGCAAACTATCTGACATTTCTTGGAAGGATGCCTTATGAAGGAGGAAAACTTACAAAGATCGTCGCTTTAAGCAGAAATATCGAAGGTAAAGGGCTGGTAGAAACAGTCAGAAGAAGCTTAAGCTTGCCGCCAATGCCTGATTCAGCAACGGTTGAATCTGCTGCAGCTTAAGTAGCGGGCCAGTCAGTAAAGTTACGATTGCAAGGACATCACGTGCCTCCTGGATATGGCTTTAGGTGGATAAAGGAACATGTCTTGGGCCCCCCCTTTTGGGTTCAGTACGTCAATGAGACAGAATTTCCCATGAAGATTGTTTCCCGCAAGAAAAGTAACTGGTGGGGCTCAAGCGCAGGTTTTATTAGTTACGACGTACAGCCTCATTCATCCTGTTCAAGGCTTTCAGGGACCAGTGTTCTACTCTTGCGGGTATATTATCATGTTTTTGAATGGAAACGTAGGCCACGATTTGGAACCACGGGCAAGAGATACCAGAGCAATAGAATTTGCTTTCTGCCGAAATTCTTTTCTTACACATATGATTAACATTCAGGATAACACTGGCAATGAATTCACTCAAGGGGAAAACGCTTACAACGCTATGAAGTCTGGTGAAGCAAAGACTCTCTACTGGTTTGACCGCGGAACGCACTTTATGGCAAGAGCAGAGACGCTTTCAGCTCTTTCTTGGCCATGGCTAGCAAAGGATACTTGGCGATTTGTGATCCAGAGTTTTGATCCTCTTGCAATACAAGATTAAAAGAGTACGTATTCAGATTGCTCGAAAAGTCCCTACCAAAGCGTCAGTTTTTTGGGCTTCTCAAAACGCAACCTAAATGGAATCAACGAATTTTGTTGATTTAAAAATAAAAGACAGTATTGAGTCTTTCTCTGAAAGGAGAACGAGAACGATTTTTTTTTTCGTGCATGAGAACAAATTTCGGTAGCCAAAGTAGAAATATCAACGCTCTCCGCGTAACTTGTCCTCATTTCCTGAATCTAGGGATTTACGAAAAGCGGCGTTTTTTTTGAGGGACTGAGTGGGGAGCGACTCATTTGCTTTGTGTGGCCTAATCCGGGACAAACTAGTCGTGTTTGGTAGCAATTGGTCTCAAGATAAATTATGAGTTAAGAACTTCGAAACTTTACTATGATTTAGACAGTAAAAAAAGCGAAAGTGACGAGCTTCAATTGCCAGAAAAACTGACCCGTTACGGCGTAGATACTTTTACTGCGATAGAGTCTCCACTTAATTAATACAAGAGGCTCCTGATAAACTATGCTACCCCTTGTTTTTCATAATTGAAGTATAAGAAATAAAAAAGCGAAGAAACCTACTTTATATAACCGTCAAATGTATATGTGCGTCCGCAGGGCGGTACTAGGTGAATATATCACATACCGCCATTGTTCCAGGTAAATGACCTATATATTTATAGAAAGAGCCATAATAGGACAGTGTCTTATTATGGCTCTTGCCTATACATAAAACACACTCTCACATTAAAGACTCGGAACAAGTTATACAGAAGATATCTCGAGTACTTAGGGGCCGACCATTTAACTCTTGAAGGGGGAGAGGGGTGGGTGATTTCTGGTCATCAAGATTTTTTTTTTCTATCAATCTGGTGGGCAGGATATTTTTTTCCCTTTTTTTCCCATAAGCTTTCTATTACATTTGTGCTGCATGCAATTTTTTCTTCCGACAAGCGCTTGCAGGAAATTTTTTTCAAAATCCCCCCCCCCCTTCCTCCTCAAGAGTTAAATTGTCGGCCCCTTAAAATATCTTTGTACGTCACGGGAAGTTCTTGAGTTTAAATAAGTTTCATTGGACCTGGTAATGAAGCGTATCAAATATTCAGTGCCACAAAGATTTTTTAAGGAGGCCATGTTTTTAAATGTGTTTTGGTAAACTGCGAAGTTTGTTGTTCGTATCGAACTGGTGAAACTGCATTGCGAAACAAGCGAAAGGAAGGTAGGTGACAATGTCCACGTGAAAGAAAACAACACCCGTATCCCAAAAATTGTCTTGAATTCTGATTTTTCCTCCATTCAGGCTTAAACGTAGGATAAAATAAGCTATGCTGGAGTTAAAGGGGAAGTAATCCTCAGCCAGTTTGAAAGTCTGCTCAGGCGTATTGATATAACTACACACCTTGTTTTAAGTAAAATGATCAGATTAAGGTCATTGAATTGGCCTATCCGTGTTAATCTGCGACCCCAGCGGCGAAGAGCGAGGAGAAACGGCTGTTTTCGCAGGCTACTCCGTGTGAGATTCAGTGATGAAATAGAGAAACGAGCTAGAAGTCCGAGGACAACTGCAAAGCTGAAACAAAGTGATGTATTTGTCAATTTTAAAAGTCTCTCGCGAGATCCAGCGTTCAGTGACCGCGTTGTTACATGCAAACGTGGATTCTAAAGAAAAGTTAATATTCACGATGTTGGTCTGTTCAACAGGAAGAGCTTGCTCAAGCGAGACCAAGACTGAAGGAGATTTCTTTTTCGTGAAGAATCCGAAACATTTTGGTAGCGAATTTGTTTCAGTTAATTTGCCGTTTACACGACCCATACACGGCACGGTTGCTTGATTCCGAAATAAAAACGTACCTTTTTGCGGCCGGTGCCTAGAGATTCTTTTAAAAAGGGCTTACCTTATTATAGGAAATTAACGCTCCATTAAATTAACGCGAATCGTTAAAATTCGCGTTAATTTAAGTCGCGTTAATTTTGTTGAGCGTTAATTTTCGTGACGTTAATTAAGTGCAGCGTTAATTTCCGCGCTCTTAATTTCCAGTATTTTAACCCCAATTTTGGAACCTGTCCAGACATTCGTGACACCTAAAAAACATTAACTACAAGCTTTCTTTCTTTCCATTTACCCTTTATTTTTCATCTTTCACAAAAGCTAAGGCGAAGGTTTACAATATTTCGAGTTCATCTTCATCGTTGTCGCTGTCAGAGGTGATGCCAATATCTTCTCCTTTGATTCCGGCCACCAACTGTCTTAATCGCGTTAATTTCTTTTATTATGAAATTATACCTCCTCTTTCGCGTTAATTTTCTTTATTCGAGAGTCGTTTTCCATTAAATTCGCGTTAATTTCCAATACCTTAATTTCATAGAGCGTTAATTTCCTATAATAAGGTACTTCGTAATATCTGATAGTCGATAAATTTTGAGTTCGCAATGCTTCGAAGAGTAAACGATTCAATAAATCGGGATACTTTTCAGGGGCACCTAAGGACAGTTTTCTGTAAAATATCTGTTCGGAGAAGCAAAAATTGCCTAGAATTTTCTATGCATTGAGGAAGGCTAAAAATTTCTAGTTAACCGTTACATTCATGTACAATTTTCGAAGCTTATCTAATAAATTCCCTACGATTTTCTGAAGTTTAATATTTCGCATTTCACTCCCCAGATTAAGCCATTTTTCGCAGAAAAAGGTAAGCCTAAAATTTTCGGACTCGAAAATGCGATGGAAAGAAGAATCAGAAAAAATTTTACTTTGAATTCGTAAAACTTAAAATTGCATCTGAAATTTTCGGGAAAATAATACTGAAGACCTGGTAATTTCGAAAAGATTCAAGCTGCCGTAGGATGACCGAACGGATATAAATTTTATAGCGCCGCTTAGAATGTACATCTAAAGATAAAGATCTAAAAGTACTCTGGATAGCCTAAAAAGTGTTTTCAATGCATCTAGGAGGAATACTCAGGCTAAGGAAATCGTCGTTGGGTTCGCCTCCCACGTAGACGTTCTTAGGGGTTCGTTGAGAGGCTATCGTTGGGTGCCCCTGACTTGTTCGCCCTCGAAAACTTTCTTGTACACAAACCCTTGTTTTCACTAAAACCGCTGGACACAAAACCTCCCCTGGGTCGATGTTAAAAGTCAGTGTCACAAGACAACCCATTTCTCCGTGCTTTTGTCTATACCACAGGTAACCCAGGCTTAGTGTGAGGAGCTGTAAAGTTTAGCCTGTTCCAGGCGTTCAAACAGTGGGGAGCGTAAAAAATAGTACGCGGAGAATTTGCCCGCGCTCTACTATCTGAACGCCTGGAACAGGCTAGGTATTAGCCTCTGAGCGGCGAAGCCGCGAGAAAAATAAAAACTGCCTGCCCGGATTCGTGGCCTTTCCAACTGCCCCCCTCCCCCTGCCTCAACTCATTTTGACATCCTGTTGAAAACTTGTTTGGTTTCAGTTTTCCCAGCCAATCAGAAATAAAGTGTTGACAGGCTAAACACGACTAAAGAGCTCGTGATATAATGTAAAACGTGACCTTGGCCAGAATTGGAGTTTGCTTAGCCTGCGTAGCAGGCGTCGAAAGGAGTAGGGGATAGGGAAAAAGGGAAAAAGGGAAAAAGGGAGGGGGGTGCTTTTCTCCCTACCCCTCTCCTTCCCCTTTTTGCGCCTGCCACACAGGCTGAGTTTGCTTCAACAAACACAGGTTTTTTTCTTTTTTGCTATCTCGCGCGTAGGTAGCCTGCAAACAGCAGACGCATTTCCGGTCGTCGCTTCTCTGTCTGATGTTCGCAGGCTAGCGCGTAGGTGACTACGTAGCCTGCGTAGCATGGCGGTTATGGTTGGGCGCGCTAAATAATAAAGGCGGGCGAAGGCAGAGAAACCGCGAGGAGATTGGGGTAGAAGCAACTTGAAAAACCGCCTGCACGGACGTAGTGGGGAGGAGCGTTGCGTGACGACCCTAATAACGGCTGCGAAGGAGACTAGCACGGACGGGGGGCTTTTTTGAGTCGGTCCGTACGCCAGCGTACGGATCGTTCCGATTGGTTCAGAATGTTCGCCCGTCAATCAAATTTTTGGGTAATCTCCCATGGGAGAGTTTCGAGGGACTGAACAAATCATCTCCGCAAAACAAAATCAAAATATTAAAGAAGCGAAGACAGGAGCGTCGTCGATCTTGAATATTCGACGGGAAAACAGGGAAAATGTATTGAAGCCTAAACAGAAAATTGCCATTTACAGTCTTCTTCAAAGGAGAGATGTCGTGGCAATTTTGTCAACAGGTTTTGGCGAGAGCATGATCCTTACTGTCTTTGCTATGGGCAAAGAAGAAATGCCTCATCGAAAACCTGTACGATCGCAATTTCCCCTCTAAAAAGTTCTATAGACGACCAGATATCGGAAATGTTGTCGCTGAGCTGTACAGCAATGGAGCTTCCGACAGAAACAGTAAATTTGCTTCGAGAAAGTCCAACTCAATTTTCTCTATTACCCGGTGTTAGAGAATAACGCACTCCGGCGCTCTACTTCGAACGCTGTCCGCGATCGTGGTCGATGAATCGCACATAGTAGAAGAAAGACGCACAGCATAATTCTCCATACTTGGTGTAGCTTAAGTTTAAGCTACAACTCAAATCTGAAGATCGCCCTTCATCCGTAAAAATTCAGCTTCCTGCGAAGAAAAAAACTTAAAAGCCGGGCCCAGCGTCAAAACATTCACCGACACAGAAACTACAAACCACTGACAAACCAAGGCTCCTTGGTTTGTAGTTATCCAGATCCAGGCATTTTAGTCGGAGAAAACTAAATAGGTTAAATATTTATTTAGCCGTAATAAAAAGCTTTAGGCTTTAAGAGTGGTCAAAGAAATGAGTACTTTACAACTGCATCTTAGATCAACAAATTCTATCAGCAACACCTACAGAAGCATTAACCACAGGAAATAAGTACTCAATATGGATGAAACAAACCAGTTTCATCCATTTCATGTAAGACTTACTGCGGCAAAAAAAAGATTTACTCAGTCAAGTTTAGAACGCAAAGTTGCTCCTGCCCCAATCTCCTCACGGTTTCTCTGCCCTCGCCCGCCCTATTTAGCGCGCGCAACCATAGCCGTCATGCTACGCAGGCTAGCTAGGTAAAGTTTCGATCCTAAAATTTGTAAAAACGTCAATGAAAGGTACGCTGAATTTATCTGTTGTTTTCTTTATTGCTCACACGGAGTTTCGAGAAAGCTGCTCAAATTCTCTGTCCATACAAGCCCAATGATAATAATAATAATAATAATAATAATAATAATAATAATAATAATGATGATGATGATGATGATGATGATGATGATAACATTTTCTCTTATAGAGGGAAACTTCGAGCAGATTTCTCGAAACTTAAAAATGCAAAGAAATGCGTTGTTTAGGACATGAGCCGTTTGGAAGCAAGAAGAATTAACTTTTTCTTATCTTTTTAATATCTTTCCAATTTAGATAAAATGAACGAGTCCTTTCATTCTGTTACTGACGAAGATCCCTTGGAATCCTTGCGCTCCAGCGTGCATGAATTCTCAGACTCATTCCACTCAGCGCTCTCAACATCTGACATCGACAAAAAGATTGACGCTATTAGTAATTGGGTTAAAGAGCAGAAAAAGGAAGCCGATGAAGAAGCAAGAAAAAAAATCATTGAGAGTATGGGAAATGTAGCTACTGCAACAATAAGCGGGTTAGAGAAGATGGAAAGTGGAGATGTCCTGGGTGGTACTTTGGAAATCATTTCAAGCGTCGTGGCGCTTGCCGGTGAGGCGGCCGGCGGACCTGTTTGGGCGACAGTTGGGGAACAATTTGCAGCGTCATTGGTGCCATTCTTGCTTCGAGACAACCCAGGCAGCCAAGCATCATAGAACAAGTGGCCGACGTTGTACATAAAGAGTTGGTCGAATTTAACAGCAAGTTATAAGACCAGAAATGTGACGGCCTGAAACGTCGCGTGTCAGACCAGACCGCCCAGCTGCAGAAGATGAAACCAGGTGAAAAGCTGGACGATCCTAACCTGTGGAACGACTACGTGCAGTTTATGGGAGAACTGGGTAACAGAATCCAGTCACCACTACCATATAAGTACAGCGATAATTTGACAAATGATACAGATGTGGCAGATTTTGTAAGAGCATTGATGACTTACTGTAAAGCTTTCAGTTGTTTTAATTCGCTTCTTCTAATCGCCAAAGGAACATTTGCAGACCTTGGAAGCGAGCATAAAGAGGATGACGAAAAAGCGGATCGGAAAATCGACGGCCAAAAGCAAGATTTAGAAAAAAATTATCTTTCCTGTTCGGTGAGAAGTACTTGACATTTCTTGGACGACTTCCGTCAGAAGAAGGAAAACTGACAAAGTTGGTCGCCTTCAGTAGAAACGCAGAAGCGAGGCGCATCGTAAAAATGACAACACGCGGGTTTGGTTTCCCTGAGATACTGGATTACGAAGCAGTTGAATCAAAGGCAGAAATCGTGTCTCGCCAGTCAGTGACATTAAAACTAGAGGGCCATCCAAATATTTTCGATTTCAGTCGGATCAATGGCCGCATAGGCGTGATGCAATTTATCAACGAAACACAGTATCCAATGAAAGTTATAGGCGGTGTTAAAAAAGTTCACACAAGTTCTTCAGCCTCGATCATCCTCAGATTTAGACATATCACACCCCTGTGCTGGGGGGTATGTCCTTATTTACTTAGACGGGAAGCTTCGTCCAGACGATGAACCCCATAGTGCAGATGAAACTATGGTAATCGAATTTGCGTATTATTTAGGTTTTGGAAAACCAGGAATAAATATCCAGAACAAACCTTGCGGTGAGTTTACCAGGGGCGAGGATGCCTACAAAAAGGTTAATGGCGAAAGGCAGAAACACTTCTATTGGAAGACAAAAGAAGTACACCACATGGCCAGTGCAGAAATGCGATTAAAAACAGTGGGCCTGCGTCCTGTTGTCACCATACACCGATGGCGCTATGTTTTCCAAGATTTCGACCCTTCCACTGATATTGTTACTGCGCCTAAAGGTTAAGTCTGTATCCGATAAATAAGTAAAATTACCTAAGTTTGTATTAATTGTTATTTCAATCTTTATTATTTCCATTTTGAAATCACTGGTGATCCCTGCAATCTGAATGGATCTCAGAAGTGTGATTTATTCCCGAATCACAGCTGTTTTTTGCTTTAAATCACATCTGTTCTAAATCGCATCATTTCTGTTTTAAATCGCACCATTTTGCTTTATATCGCATCATTTCTGTGCGAACGTAAAATGAAATGTGAAAGCCTTTTTGTTTCCGCTTTTCAACAAATCGGCTAATTGATCAATAAAGTTTATTGGTACTGAGAGTGACTGAATTCTGCGATTTCAAAATGGCTGTAATAAAGTGGTAATTGAATTTCGTGTCATGCAATTTTGGTCTGAAATCATACTTGTGATTTCAAATCAAACTCGCGCTGCAAACTCGTCCGATTTGCGCGCTCGACCAAATTGCACTCCACTCAGTTCAATTACCATTATTAGTCCACAAGAATGTGGACTAATGTTGTAGCGAAAAACGCTAGCACACGTGAAATCACCTTCCACGAGGGAAGGCGTGAGGAAAATGTATGATCAGGCTTCCTTTACTTACGGTCTGAATGATTAAGGTGCTCTTATAATAAAATTATATGAAGTCTGGTGTATTTTGGCAGCCAAACGAACTGTCCGTTAAAAAGGGCCCGAAGGCCAAAATTTGAGTCATGGAAGGCGTTAACTACCTTCATCAGTCCCAAGAGAGAATAAAAGGACAGGGAGGGCATCTTAGGGAGTGATATGTGAATTTCACTACAGTTATTTTTAGATCTTTTAATTAAACGGAAGTCTAATTCCTCGAACGTTCGCACATTTTAATTGATTACTTGAAACGTTATCAAGTCTACGCGCCGGCGCGCGACTGCCTCAAAGCAAAAAACGCAGAATATTGTAATGACGACTGTTGAATTCTCTGTCGACAAAACTGAATAAAGGTTTGCGGATCTCGCTGGAAACCAACTTCCTATATACTTTTGGTCTGAAAATGACTTTGGTGAAATTCGCATATCCCAATACCTACACTGGGCGTTTCCTAGATACTAACACCAAATTGGGGAGACCGTGATAATAGAGAGGTACGTTATAAGATGTTAGACTGTATTTGGCGAGTACAACAATGCGTATTTTTCTTTCCCTTTCAGATACTGGGTTATGTATTGTCTCCTAAATTTCGTTCTGTGGACAAGCCGCGAAAAAGATGGATACTAACTACTTCGAAATTTTAAAAATTAGCAGCAAAACCCCGATTGTAAACCAATGAGTTTAGAGACCAGGTCTCTCAAGAAAATATGGATCAGTGAAAAAAGACAAAGTTGAAGAAACAACGGCTAAATGCTCACGGCGAAAAGAAGAAACTCTTTCTCCTTTCCTCTTATAGAAAGGCCTCATGCTCAGGCTATGTAACACTGTATATATGCATAGTGGTACAAACTAGAATTGTCCAATTATTATACATAACCCCATTTCCCAGTCTAAATTTTGTCCTAATCATAGTGTCTAAACCTACTCCCAACGCGTTCTCCTATATATTCTTGCCTAGTCCTCTCCTTGTCCCTGTATGGCGTTTTCCCAGGACGTTTGCGATGGAAAGTCACTATATTTTCCCATTCAGGCATCGGTTAGGGTTGCCTATAAAGAAATTTACAAAAAATGCTGTGATGTCTGTGTTAGTATGGCTTCCTTTAGCGGTCAGTTTAAGTCTGAGCCACACCCACATTGGTCTCCCTTAGGGGTTTCATGTTCATTTTCCGACCATCATCGCCCAGTCCGAGTTGTTAGTATACCTGAAAAGAATTTTCCAGAAAAGTCTATTAATACTTCATTTGGACATCAGTTGAGTCGAGAAGGAAGGTTGTGTTTCCACACACCGAAAAACTGACTGTCGATGAGATAGTTCAAGTATTTCGATGTTACGTTATATAAAAGCCTGTAAGACGCGGTGCCGTTATTTACCAAAACGTTTAAGCGCATAAAAATTAACACAAATTTTCTTTAGCTGAATATCAATGAACCTCATTAGCAAATAGATATGAATGTTGAGATTGTAAAAACACCATGATCTGGAAGACGATAGATAACAGTGGTGCTGTTCTGTGGAATAGTCCTCCTCAACATTAAGGCAAGCAGAACCCCTAAGTAATTTTAAGTCACTTTTGCACAGTAATTACAATATCAAGTAAGGCACGGCTTTCATGGAAAACAGGCTCTTTTTTTTCGTATATACTTAATTGAATATTTTTAATACTGTATTTAGCGGAACCCAGTAAATGTAATTAAGGTTTTATAAATTTTTTATAATATTTCATGCCTGATTAATTTGTAACACCGTGCATAAATAAAGATCACCTTACCTTACCTTTGAAAAGTTGTCCTGTTATGATAAGGCCAATCTCCGGAGTAAAATAATTTATACCCCACACTCTGTTGACGTAAAACAAAGGAAACAAAACATCTTTTAAAATAAACGTATAAACCCTAATGTCCCCATAACATATCGAAACATAGAAAAGAAACACATTGTTTTCACCCGGGATAAAAAACTCAGCTGAAAACTGAACAAGACAGGGACCAGGAACAGCAGTGTCGGCTGCTGGTTAGGGTATTAATAGCAAAAAAAAAAAATAATAAAATAACGCCTGATCTCAGGTTAGGGTATTAAAGACGAAATGCACATTGCGGCACGGAAGCGAATGTTCAAGATACAACGTCAAGGATCCCTGCACTGGGTGCAAGATGGCCTGCGAGCAAGCTCTCCTGGGGTTCCCGGGGCTGCGGGGGCTCCAGAGCGCTGCGGGTGCAACAGCCTTTTCTGACTATTCTGGTTCTAGCCCGTCAGTGCCTCGCAAAGTTTCCGGTGAACAGTCCGGGCCTCAACCAGAACTGGATATATGATTTCCTGTCATCTGATTGGCTTACGCAAAACCAAAACATTGCTTAGACCGCAAAAGGACTAAGGCCGAGAGAAATGGCGGCGATGTCGCGCCGAAAGCCTCTCCAAAGATACTCATGATACGATAGAATCCTTCCGATCTATCGATCTATCGACTTTTAGAAGTTGCAGAAAATTCCATCACAAAGTCGTTTTCTTTATTTTTCTTTACTGGAATTACGTGACTCACAGAAGCTCGCGAACTATAAGCTTTAATCTGCAACCTTGTTTACGACTTCTTCGCACGATGTAGGCCGCCTCATCTCAAGTTCTCAATCTGGGAGAGCCTAGGAAAGTGAACGCTACCTTAAAGCGTGCATACATAAACAAGCGTAATTATTTCCTTGGTGAATACTCAGCTGAATACAGGCAAGTTCCCCCCCACTTACTCCTGTCAGTCTAAAGGAATGGTATTTTGAAGGGTGGAGTTAAAGTTTACTTAAGGTGGCTCCGTAATTAATACCAGAGCATTTTGCTGTGACAAATTTTCCGTCATAACTTTTTGGTTTTTAACGCGATGGCTGCGAAACTTCGCAAAAAACAACAGACATCATTCGGCAATAATACGAAATGTTCCGATTTCATTGATGGTAAATATTTCTTGAGAAATTAGCGCTTAAAAGGACCCTACTGTTCAAAGAAAATCGCGTCTAGTAAAAAATTTTGCTGATATTTTTTACTGAAATTTCTGGTATCGGCTTTAATTGATATAATAAATATGCCAGAGGAATTTCAGAAAAATCGTTGGAACAGAAGTCCGTAACTAAAAGTCGCTCAAAATTCAGCTGTGAAATTGTTTTGGAATTTCAAAAATAAATTACTGTCAGGTAGAAGAAGCCACCAGTTTGAATTTTCGGGACAAGTAAATTCAACGTTTGCTAATTCTTAAAACAAAAGCCGATTGCCTATCGTGCTATTCTTTAAAAGGTACTTTTTAGTTTTAGAAGCACTATAAATTGCTCCAAACTTTGCTCTGAAGTAGAATGACTTGTTCTTCGACAGTTTTAAAATATCCCTTGGCAGTTTTGGCTCAAACTCCTGCTACATACATTTTGATGTATTGCAATGCATTTTCAACGACTTTTACTGCTGTTCGTTGCTTCCAACTCAGGAAAAAAGTATTAAGATTGGACGCTACCTCGTATCAGAGCTCAGAAAGAACTGTCCAGCACCTTTGTTTATGACTACAAAATGAGCACGAGCGGCAGTTCTGCGAGGAATTCGCACCTCACCCAGGGGGGACGAACGACAATGATGACCATGCCCGTGAACTGAATAACATCACAGTGCAAAATAAAATTATCGCAAAAATACTGCCCGTGAATAAATTTACAACTCCGAAATTTTTGTCACTCCTTCCTTCAATAAATGGGTATTTTTTCTTGATTATTATGTTTAGCTCTGCAATACATGTTTATACAGATCGGTTCACAGACATGGGCATCATTGTCATTCGTCCCCCCTGGCTGAGGTGTGAATTCCTCGCAGAGCTGCCGCTCGTGCTCATTTTCTGGTAATAAACAAAGGTGCTGGACAGTTCTATCTGAGCTTCGATACAAGGTAGCTTACAATCCCTATACCTTTTTCCTGAATTGGAAACAACGTACAGCAGGAAAAGCCGTTGAGGATGCATTGCAATACATCAAAATGTATGTAGCAGGAGTTTGAACCAAAACTGCCAAGGGATATTTTAAAAATGTCAAGGAAAAAGTCATTTGACGTCAGAGCAAAGTTTGGAGCAATCTATAGTGCTTCTAAAACTAAAAAGTACCTTTTAAAGAATAGCACGATAGGCAATCGGCCTCTGTTTTCAGAATTAGCAAACACTGAATTTACTTGTCCCGGAAATTGAAACTGGTGTCTCCTTCTTCCTGATAGTAATTTATTTTTGAAATTCCAAAACAATTTCACAGCTGAATTTTGAGCGACTTTTAGTTACGGGCTTCTGCTCCAACGATTTTTCTGAAATTCCTCTGGCATATTTATTATATCAATTAAAGCCGATACCAGAAATTTCAGTAAAAAATATCAGCAAAATTTTTTACTAGACGCGATTTTCTTTGAGGAGTAGAGTCCTTTTAAGCGCTAATTTCTCAAGAAATATTTACCATCAATGAAATCGGAATATTTCGTATTATTGCCGAATGATATCTGTTGTTTTTTGCAAAGTTTCGCAGCCATCGCGTTAAAATCGAAAAAGTTATGACGGAAAATTTGTCACAGCTAAATGCTCTTGTCTTAATTACGGAGCCACCTTAACGAAACCCTACATTTCTATTTTTCCGTAAGATCTTCGAGATGGAGCGCTTTGCATTACTGGAAGCCATCTTCGGGATGATGCCTAACCTCACGGTACATATGAAACCAAAATGGCCGCCGGTACTGGTAGCGCTCGATACTGACGACCATCATACGAAAAAATAGGGGACTGTGAAGTCTCCTAGTTCTTGTGCAAGACCAAAGCCCTGTCGGTTGTATAAATATGTATTAGACAGCAAACGACTTCCTAAAGTTCTGAGAAATTTTGACCAATATTTAAAAGAGGATTACCCCGAAAAGGTCAAAAAGGATCACTGAGGGTGAAAAGAAGGAATTATGTTTCGCTTTCAATCTGAGTAGTCATGAATCAGTGTTCCCGTATGATCGCTTTGGCTTGAACAGAAAAATCAAAGAAACAACAAAAGCAAAGTTTTCCGATGAAGGTGGTTTTATCTTTCGTAGCTGCCATGATAGCCTGTGCACAGACCCCCTCCACTCAGGATTTTCCCTGAGGGGCTACTCCCATGATCAACGCCCAGTTTAGACACGAAAACAGTACTGTTTTTCTTTCCCTTGCGTGATTTGCTTAGTTGGGCGTAGCTTAGAAGAGTGTTTTTTCGAGGTGTTTTCCTGGAACACTTGATCAGCACTGGATCGCAAGTCACATGCACATCACGCTGAAGATTCATCCCGCGCACAATCGATGTCATTTTTCCTTGTCGATTCGAAAGTTTCGGACTTGAGATTGTGGCCATAAATAGCCAACACAAGGGTAAGTAATGTCGTGCAGAACTGCAATGAAGTTTACTTGTCACAGTAGTGAGAAAAGTGTTAAATTGCGCGCAGAACAAATGAATGCGAGTTGAAGTGCTAGTCGTCATCCGATCTTTTATAAAGTGGGGACAAATTCAGCTGAATCCGCTTTCCCAAGCAGAATAGATTAGAATGCCTACTTTTACATACGTGTTTACCTGCATAAAAGGACTCTGATTTTTCAGTTTCGTTTCCCGATTGTATTTTATCCATGATTTATCACAAGTATAGCGTAAAATTCAACTGTTTGTGACCTTAAATTATAACCAAAAAATTGTTCTGCCTGAAGACTTAACTTGGCTTCTATGCAAAACAGAGCTGTGTGGTGCATTTTAACCCAAACTATATTTAATTGCGCTGTCATTTTAAGAAGATAGTTTAGATGCACTTTTGCGCTGCCCCAAATGGTTATGTTGCTCGCATTGAGAGCTTATGTCAATACACTGAGTAACGGATATCTGATAAGCAGCGTACGTCTTTCACGTGCTCTCTCTTAGTTCCGGCTTTCTTACTAAGGAGGGGGACACGGGGATTGAATGCGGTGTTGTGGCACAGGGTCCAGAGAAGTTTCGTGTGAATAAATGAATTACTTATTTAAAGTCTCACCTTGAAAAATGTCTATACCTGTCGCTTAGCACGATTAATTAGCCCAGTGGGATCTTTATAAATCTACTGTAAACTATTTCTTAGCTTCTTATCTGACCCAGATCGACTTTTGAAAATCAATAACCCCAAGCCATATCCTCCTCCATATCCTCGCACGGCACGTCGCCCGAAGGGCGACCGAGGCAAGAAGTATACTGTAAGCGGATCTTGCGAGCCCTCAGTCTCTTGGTTTGCGGTCTATAGAATGTGTAACGAAACTGTAACGCGATCAAAATAACCCATTTTTTCAGAGGTTTTCGACAGGTTTCGTCTGGACCTTGAGGTTGCGGTGAATAAAAAGCCCATCTTGCGGTGTTGCGGTGTTAAACCGTGCGGCGTGCGGTGTTTCTGGTTTTAAACCTACGCTGAAACGAAGTAACTTGCAAACACTGTGCAATGTTGTGGTTTATCATTTGGCCGTAGTTACTGAAACGAGGAACCAGGCAAAACGAGCCAAACGACCTAAACGATCCACAACGACCCAAAGTGATAAGCAACGAGTGATCAAAACTAATAAACAAAAGATCGACAACGACCGAATAAAACAAGCCAAAACAAGTTCTGCCCTCCTAGGAACGTCGGGTAAAATTGATCTCACTGCTTTTTTTATGGCAGGAGCGAAGCCTGATCTGTGTGGTCTTTTTATACAAAAAAGACTTCAAAACAAATGGATAACAGGCGAAATCTGCATGGGTTTTTTTCACGACTGTCATGGGTGTTGTATGCATTTTTCTATCTGCAAGACGAAGAATAGAGTTCGCAAAAATAGGAAAAACTCACTCTCTACTTATCACTAACCAGCTATGGAGATTTGGATTAGATTAATCGTAGGACCAAAATTAAAATTGCGATGTCGGTGTTTAGCCCCTTTTTTTTGTGATGCGGTTTTTGTTTTTTTTTTTCTACGGCATGTTGCGGTGTGGACGGTCCCCCAATGCCCCCCTCACTGTAACGGTAATGAATTTTCAGTTCCTTTCCTCTCCCGTTATATAATTACTTCTGACGATTTACCTAGATTTGGGATTTTTTTCATTTTAATATACGGTTTTCGTATGAATAATTCTTGGCGTTGTCGAAACGTCGTGATCAATAGCATACTGACCGTGAAAGAAACGATAATCGAACGTTAACCTTCACATGCCACAATAAATAATATCATTCATTGTATTTTAAGGTGATTGCTCCAGACAACACCATTACAAAGTGAAAAATCACTTGTCTTTCTCCTTTCTCACTTCTAGGCCTAAATAATGGCTGCACGTTACCACAGTCATTGTCAAAGTCCATCTCTTCCATGCCCCGATATTAAAGAATGTCTGGACTCATTGCGTAGGTGTATGTCAGATTTTGCGGACTCGAATACCAATCTAAAAATAGATATCGAAAGGAAGCTAAGTGAAATAGAAACTTGGGTTACAAAACAAAACAACAACAGCGGGGAAAAAACGAAGGAACTAACCCCTGAAACAGTGGGTAAAGTTCTTAAAGTTGTCCAAGTGACGGTGAATAGTATCGAGAAATTCAAAAGTGACGATCCCGTGGATATCGCCATAGGAGTTTTAAACATCGTCTCTTCGATTGGGTCCGTCTTTGGTGGACCTTACGCGCCGATAATTACTACAATCTGTGGCATTATTAGTACGATTCTCAGTTATGGCAAGCCAAAACATGCACAGCCAAGTGTGGTAGATCAACTCGCAAAAGTCGTGCACAAGGAACTAGTCAACTTCAATCAAAAGTTGCATGATCAAAGATTCCAAGGTTTGCAGGATCGCGTATGCAACCAGACATCTCAGCTACGTACATTGAAGTCAGCGGAAAAACTAGACGACACCAACTTGTGGAATGACTACGTTCAGTTTATGGGTGAGCTTTCCCACAGACTAGAGTCACCGTTGCCATTCAAATATGAAAAAGGATCCTCCCTCACAGAAGATCCTGAAGTAGCAGATTTTGTGACAGCTGTGGTGACTTACAGCGAGGCGTACGTCTGTTTCATGGCACTTTTGTTGGCTGCGAACGGACGATTTGCAGATCTTGGGAGAAAAGAAGACGAAGATGCGGTCTATCGTATTATCAAACGCCAAGAAGAGAGAGCGAGAGAAAAGCTCGCATTCCTGTCTGATGAAAAATATCTGACATTTCTTGGGAGGCTTCCCTATGAAGGAGGAAAACTGACGAAAATCGTTGTTTTAAGCCGAAACACATCAGGAAAGAGGCTCGTAGAAGCAGTCAGACGTAGCTTGGATTTACCGCAATTACCTGATTCTGCGATAGTTGAATCTGAAGCAAGTAAAGTGTCCAGTCAGTGCGTTAAGTTAAAACTGGAAGGCCATGACACTCACTCTCCCCAGAATTCTGTATTTCCTCAGGAGGGCAACAAAGCTGTTGTGGCGTTAACAAGAGTGCTGGTAGGTGTCATATTTACTGAGTTCATTAACGAAACAAATTTTCCCATGAAGATTGTTTCGGGTAAAGTTGGACGGAGAAGATTACGTTCCGTCACTTTCACCCACAACGTCCAATCTCGATCAAGTTGTTGGCTGGAAACCCCACAGCTCTCATCCTCGCAATTTTCAACCGGTGGGTACATTATTCTCTACCAGAACGGAATCCTAAGCTCCGAAGTAGAACCACCTGCGTCGAATGTTAGAGTCATTGAGTTTGCTTTGTCAAGTTTAATGAAAATCAACATCCAAGACAAAACCAGCAGCGAGTTCACCAGTGGTCAAGACACTTACGACAAGATGAATTCTGGTAAAGCCAAGACACTCTACTGGTTTAATAATGGGGAACACTTCATTGCAAGAGCAGAAATAACTAGATATCGATCTGGGCCGGTGACCTTTCGATTTGTTGTTCAGGACTACGATCCTTTGGCGGTGAGTGATTAAACAAAAACAGGATTTGATGGCTTTGACGGATGGAACTGAGACGATCAAAACCTGAAACGCCGATTTACGAAGAAATTGACCACATTCATTGACTACGAGTATACTAAAAACTGATTAGTATGTAATGATTGTATGGAAAATTCAGTGAAGGCAGTAGGGAACAGGGAAAAAGGTACGGGGAACGGGGTACGGGGAACGGGGAACGGGTTACGGGGTGCGGGGAAAGAGCACGGGGAAAGGGAAAATGAAAAATGGTAACACTGTAGCCCTTTTAGTAACTTCATTCCAATTCTCTGTTCCGTTTCCCAGGTTCCCCGCTCCCCGTGCCCGTTTCCCGTTTTTATAGTAAATACATTAAATCAGTGTTGAATGGCTTGCTAATTCAACGTTAAGCCTCCAAGGTTGATATATCGATATGATTTGGATTTCGTTAACATGATTTCCCGAATCTGGAAGTAACACTATTGCAAAAAGACATAAAAGGAATACAGCAATGAATTTTTCAAAACAAAGAGTACTTCGTCCATTACGTTGTGTATCATGCGTAAGAGAAACCATTCAATAGCAATTTTTTTGGAGCTAAATTGCGTACCCTGTTACTCTATCACAGTTTTATTCAGCAAGACTACATTGTGTGTTTCATATTAAGCTGTTTTAGAAAGGGGACAACGAAAAAACCTAAACACAAAGTAAAGAAGGCTTCCAGTTGTAGTAATCTGACGAAACAATGATTTATTTTGCATGATTATATTCGGTAATTTTAAGTGGAGAACCATGAACCATTCAATAGCCAGTTGATTTTGAACTTGTTGAATTTTTTGTCAGTGGATACAGCGTTATTTGACTTCACTAAGCTGTTTTCGAAAATACAAAAAAGGGGAAATCTGAACAAAATATTTAGGGTAAGTTAGACTTAATTTAACAAAATGACATTGAAGTCAAATAGCTAAGAAGTATATAAACTACGTCATGGAACGTAAACAGGAAGAGTTAACTCAATGGTAACTAATCAGTTTAAAATTACACTTCCCTTATATGTGTCTACTATCTGAACGCTGGATTAAGACATGTGTGTAGGAGGAGACAAGTCTCATCTACGTGGGCATCTTAATACAGACATGCCAGGGCCGTAGCCAGAAAGAAACTACAACCGAGGCGAACACACGGTCCGTTGTACGAAATCAGCCGTATGAAATCTTCTAATATTATCAGTCTGATAAAAAAAATAAAAATCGACAGTATTTGGTAAAATTTTACCGAGGCGAGTGCCTCGGTTCGCCTCATACTGGCTACGGCGGTGCATGCCTGGTAACCGCGTTATCTTGCCACACCTTTTGTCACTAAGCATTGTTTCGTGAGCCTGTTCTAGGCGTTCAGATAGTGCTGGGAGGAAAGAAATAAAGAATGGGGAGGAAAAAAAAAAAAGCGGATGAGAAGAAGAGGGAGAAAAGAAAATGGGCTGTTCTTTCACCCTCCCCTTCCCCCTCGCTGTCTTTTTGCTGCTCATTGAGTTCTCTTGGGTGTTTCTTGATGTTGCGGTTAAGTGTTGTTGGTTAGTTATAGTTTTGTGGTGTGGCATCGTTCAGTGACTTTCCAACCTTTTTAAAATTTTGTATGAAGTCACACAATTGGTGATTGCATCAGTGCACAACACCAAGAAACCACTCTTCTCTTCAAACCGTCCCCAATGGCTCCGCCCCGAGTTCCAACCCCTTACCCTTTTATATACCACTTTTGACAGAAGAGGTACCCCTATCGTATACTTCTATGAACAAATAGTACCCCTTTCACATATCTAATCCAAAACTTTACATCCCTTTTAACTGCTATAAATTAGACTACGAGTAGTCCCTCATTTTTCCTCAGGGATAGTAGAGCGAGCGAAACGCGAGCGCGCGTGAAAATCACCCCACGCGAGAAAAGGCGACACGCGCCTCATTTTTCTCTCTCCCCGCCGCGTGTCGCCTTTTCTCGCGTGGGTTGATTTTCACGCGCGCTCGCGTTTTGCTCGCTCTACTATCCCTGAGGAAAAATGGGGGACTACTCGTAGTCTAGCTATAAATGCACTGTCTTTTAAATATAAATAAACCACAAAACCAGAAAGTTTTCTTGCATTTCCCTCCGGTCAGTGAAATTAAAGCGAGAAGCGACTTACATTGACGAATTGTTTCCTAGGTGTTCGCAATAGACCATTTTGCAGTTGTGGACTTAGTACCCTAGCCTTCGAGTGAATGTGAGGCTGAGGTTGACCTCGTTTTGATACAAACCTCCTCTGCTTTGTTATGCAAATTGTCCCTGAAAAATACTAGTTAGCATAATAACAACTTGACTTACATAATAAAGCAGGAATTTTAAGGTTTCTATCAAAACAAGGTCACCTCCATCCATAACTGTGAAATGGCCTATTCATCAACCAAACTCCATATCCCCTAAAGGTTATAGGCGGTACAGTCCCTGAAGGAGCAGTAGGACGCTTCACATTAGGCTACGTGCAAACGGGCGCAACAACTCCCAACATTGTTGCGCCAACAATGTTGGGAGTTGTTCCCTGCGTGTTGGCAGTGGTCTGCAAACGGATGCAACAACTCCCAACAAGTTTGAACCTGCAGTGCATCGTGGGAAGAATACAACCCATAAGTCTTTGTAATCCATGCGTAATGAGCGTGCGTGGCCCCAACAATGTTGGAAGAGCTGTGCAAACGGATCCCACATTGTTGCGCTACGCTTCGGCGATTACGGAACAAAAGAAATGTTGGGAGTTGTTGGCTGAAAAGTTTGACCAGTTTCAAACTTTGCGCAACAACATCCAACAACATACAACAGGGTGAGCAAACGGACGCAACATGTAACATCCAACAATGTTGCGTCCGTATGCACGGGGCTTTAGTTCTTCCGCCTCAGTCTTCCTTGTTTGAACCACGTTGAGTTGGACTGTTTGGTTTTGGAGAAGCTACGAGCAGACGAAGAACCCCAAAGCTCAGATGTAACTTGCGTATAATCGAATTTGCCTCGTATTTCAACGGCTTTTTTGGATCAGAAGTTAATACCCAAGGCAAAACCTTCAGTGAGTTAACTAGGAGCCAGGAAACCCTGGACAAAATGAAAGAAAAAAAAACAAAAACCATCTATTGGATAAAGGAAAATGCACACTACATGGCCTATGCAGATTCGTGCCTTGGACGAATTCCAATGGAGTCGTTTGATTTTATACCTAATTGGGGTTGCCAATCAGGCGCTTTGTCTTCCAGGATTTTGACCCTTTTCGTGATATTGTTACGGAGCCTAAAGGTGAAGTCTATAATGATACACAAGTAAAATTACCTTGCTATTTAGGAATTTATTGACATTTTAATTTTAGTCAACTAGAAATCAAAGATGTTTTCTTTTTTAACCGCGCGTAGTGTTTCCTCGTGAGGACGACGAGTTCTTTGCACACGATGCCTGCCGGAGTGTTACCAACTTAGTGAAACGAAAGTAGAGCCTGTTTGTAGTTGTTCTGAGTCAGTCTGAAAATGGTATCTAATGATGAGACTATTCAAACAAAACCAATTAGGCAGCAGTTTTCTGTGGTGCTGTTTATTATGCTGTACAAGGTGGTTCTAGATTTTGAGATTACAAAAACCATTATGACCATTCAAATGAAATATATAACTACAGAGCAGCGCTTTGCTATAGGTTCACTTGATTCATAAACGTTGAAGTCTTGTACGTATTTATGCTTCTATTTATTATTTTTTACAACGTGACTGAAACCTTTGAGTACGTACTGACAATTCTAGTAATCAAACCTGGACAAACCTTTTGTCCATAGCTGCTTTCTACTTGTTTTGCAATATTTTACAACTTGTACACACTGTTGGTTAGGATTTGTATTGAACTGAGCGCAGGCACTCTGGTCTCTGATAAAAGTGACAGAAAGATCAGAAATAGCCTGCGAGCAAGCTCTTCGTTTATAGCGAGCGAAGCGAGGCGCGACAGTTTGCAAGCAGCGCCGGGTCTCCTTTCACGTGCTGCTCTCCCTTGACTTCTCTCTTACTCCCCCAAATGGAGAGCTTGCTCGATTGTAGGCTAGACCAGAAGGATTGCTAGCCCAGTGTGACAGTGGAACTTTTCGCATCAGGAGTGGATTGTTGAATAACAAGCTTCATGTTAGACGTGTCATTTGTGTCCATGAAAGGCTTCCATGAAGCGTATAGTGCCTCTGATGCTAACTCGTCACTGTGTAACAACAACAATAAAAATATGTTATAGTTGAACGATACGTGCAGTAAGATCAGGGTCTGGAAGGGGGTCCTGATCCCGCATTCACGCTTCTTTTACACGATAATCCCGCGTGATCCCGAACTTCTGTCGTCTGTGTCCCGAACAGCGTTTCTTTCCTAATACCGCATCCCGCGTCAAGATTTTGGCGAATCCTGCTTCTCGAGTAATGGTGAAATCCCGTATCTCGTCAAGACATTTTGCGTTTTCCTAAATCCAACACCGTATTTCGGTCAAATCCCGGATCCCTAAAATACCTTTCCAGATCCTCTAATATATTTGCATTACTTTCTTTAGCATTCATAGAATCAAGGGTTCATGCAATTCCTATCCCCAGAGAGTCGCGAGGTTTTACACATCCTCGGAGACCCAGGGGCAGATAATAGGGACAAGAGAAAGTCTAAACGGGCGGAAAAAAAATTTGCCGTTTAGACTTTCTCTTGCCCCCACTATCTGCCCCCCAGGTCTCCGAGGATGGGTTTTACAAGACACGTATTTCTTCAGTTGTTGATTTATGCTGTACGAGGTGGTTCCAACTTTCACTGGAGAGTATGTGGACGTAATCCTAGCGCGTGGCCTATAAACAAAACTACAAACTGTACAAATTACAAAAGTTTTGAAGATTGCCATATAAAGAATCTCGATGGAATGGTAATATGAGAAACAGTTATTAGCTCAGTTACTCTCGTCCACCGGTGAAACTTTAATTTAAGATCTTACTTACTGTAAACATATAGTAGCCAGTTCGTCTTGGAATCCTTTCTTCATTTTTCTTATTCTACAACGTGAGAAAAAGTTAACAAAACACGTTTGCAAAATGCGGAAAAGTGTGGGGAATATGTGAGAGAAGTAATCATATAAACCTAAAATTTAGGTCTGTATTCTCAAAAGCCGGCGAACCTAAAAGAAGACATGGTGTGAAACAAGGCTGTTTCGTCGAAAATATAGCTAAGTGAAAAGTGCTTCTGCTTTGCGGATTTACATTATATGTAAGCGCTGGAGCCCTTCAGATCTTGTAAGAGCCTTCTTCGCGGTTACTGTCACATGACATAAGTTTCAAATCACTTTCCCAAGAAATTCGTGCGCCTTGTTCCAAATTTTCCCATAGTCCTTCACAGTCGTTGATTTTTTAGCAAGCCAGAAACACCTTGGTCCTCTTTATCAACTCGTTTAGCTCAATCGGCATCACTGGGAATCCTATTCTGTTCTGATTGGCTACTAAAAGGTTTTTTGGCGTCAAAGCTGAGACCAATTGAAGCCTGAAAATCTCGGCATATGCGAGAGATGACCCCTTCAGCTACTGAACCGTTGACTGAGGTCGTTTGTGTGGACGTTCCAACCGAAGGTGACTCCAAATTTGATTAACAAATACTTTTTCAATAGAAGTAGCGGGGAGAATTTGTTGAAATATCAACTAGACACATCTTCCCTGATCATGTACTCAATTCTCATCACCAATCTGTTTTCTAAAGCATTGATATTATAAGGAGAAATTTCATGCTGATCACTCTTTGCCAATGACTTCTTACTAGCCTGTGGGATCCCTGCATGGGCTTTCAACCGATCCGATGTGGTGGTTAACTTTTAAGTTGCCGAATACATGAGCAAAAAAACCGAGTACTCCCATATAGGCGTTAGCAAGTCACCAAGTTACTCTCAACATAAGCGCTAATTGGAGTTTAATCTAAAATTTTAATTTGTTTTAATCTAAGAATAATGATGACGACTTTTACGGTCGCGTGCTATGATGTTCGATTTTACCAACTTCAACCTTAACTCACCTTTTCCAGCGAACAAACAACACAGCAATCACAACGCCGACTGCTGCTAAGACACCAAGGACCAGCGAAAGTGACACACTTAGCACTTCTGTATTTGACTTGCCTTCTTGAGATCCTGGTTTGTCCACGTTACTTTGATTCGAAGACGTCTCCACTTTAGTAGTCATTTGAAGCTCTGATTCAGAGGCAGACGTTGGAAACAATGTCACTTCTGTGTCTGCAGATTTCTCCGTCAGTGTTGTACTCTGTATAGAGCCATTCGTTCTGTTGTTTGCGGTAGTGGGAATGAGTGGGTTGTTGGTCGATTGTGTTTCTCCTGAGAGATTAATATAAAAACGTACTGTTATCCTACATTAAGATGAAATGTATAGTGCTCTCAAGTCTGAGAACCACGGAAGCTGAGCGCTGGATCGCAAAAAATATGAGCCAGACACGAAACCGAAGGGTGACTGTAATGGAGTGAAAGACTCCCCATATCACTGTAGTACTCTGAGAAGGTCTCTGCGATGTCAAATTTCAACCAATAAAGATACGCCCATATAAACTACGTATGTATCCGTAAATAAAATACCAAGAAAGCAATAACAGGCCCTTTCGTCCGCCACAACCCCGGTTTATACTCTGGTTACTCTTCCGTTAAATAAATAAATAATAATTAATGATTTGGATTTAGCTCATCCGCAAAATGATTCTTCTTCTTCCTGATTCCTGGACGAATTGGACTTTGAAAATGTTGGTTTTTGAGGAGAGGGGAAAACCGGACTATCAGGAGAAAACCTTTCAAAGCAAAGGAGAGAACCAACAACAAACTCAACCAACATATGGCGTCCTAGACCACGAGTAGTCCCCCATTTTTCTTCAGGGATAGTAGAGCGAGCAAAACGCGAGCGCGCGTGAAAGCCTTTTCTCGCGTGGGTTGATTTTCACGCGCGCTCGCGTTTTGCTCGCTCTACTATTCCTGAGGAAAAATGGGGGACTACTCGTAGTCTAATGGCGTCCACACCGGGCCAGATTGGTGGGATGCGAGCGCCATCCCTTGCTTCAGTTTATCATATTGAAAGTTGGCGCGTCATGATTTGCCTGTTCCAAGCGTTCAGATAGATAGTGGAGTGTGGAGCGAAGTCCTTGATTGGGAAAAACTGAATCATGATGAAAAGAGGAAGAGGAAGCTAGAGTCCTTAGATCTCACTCCCTACCCCATCCCCGATGTTTTCCCGGCTCACGTCTCTTTGCATCGTCCCCGCGATCTAAGTTACACGGGACGATTTGCAATGACGATTTTTAGCGCAACACAGCGTTGCAATTTGTTTCCATTTGAAACTTGGCAACAACGTTGCAACGCTGTGTTGCGCTAAAAATCGTCTTTGCGAATCGTCCCCTGTATTTTCGCCTTAAAAAAAAGCCATATCGATGCAACTGGGTGGGGAGACACTCAAGACTAATCTTATGAGGGGCAACAGAGCTTCCTGGCTTTTAGAATTGACTTTCAACAGACTATCCGCCCGCCGGACCACCACGATTGCACTTGCGGTTTCTTTTCTCGACAAAAATGTTGAAACATGGCCAAATCGTTTTTAAAGGAATCTGACCATATACTAGGATTCATACAAAGCAGAAAACAGGAGAGCAACACAAAAAAACTCCTGTTATAGATTTTCAACTAAAGGACTCGCCGTCAATGCTCCTCCAGTCATAGGAGAATGTTCGCAGTCTTTAAATCTACATTATAACACTTTGTATTCATCTCCTTTTACGCTCTATTTTAGGCTCTGATTGGTAATAATGAGAGCTAAGATTTTCCGTGTTTTCAAGTAAATGTTATAGACTTAAGTCTAAGGCATGGTGAACATAAAATGAAAAAACTGGGATCTAAAACTTTAAAGAGTGTAGGCTAGAAAATGGTATTTCCCCACCGTCGCCTTTTTGAGGAGCGTAAGCATAATCAACAGTATATTTCTGGGCCGGGTTGTTCAAAGCTGAGTTAAGATGACCCAGGGTTAGTGCGAAATTTGATTTCAGATATAAAAGCTTAAAAAGCAAATTCAGTTTTATTCTTTTTGTCTAGAATATTTCGATTGGATGCTCTAAAAATACTAGAGAAAATTTGAAAAGTCATCGAGAGGATTTTTTGTGGGCGGAAGACGTTAAACGTCCCTCGGACAGCATAAAACAGAGCACGGGAAAAAAAGCTGCCTTACAGTTTTCATTTGATTATTAAAAGGATTTTTCATCGCCAGAATGAATTGAAAATAAGCTAGGTAGTGCCTTCTCTCGAGTCACGGCAATACTTTAAAACAATACAGTCAGATTTAACTGTGCCCATAGTTTAAGCTGCCCTTTCACTACTTTTAGAAGCCGAAGAACAAATAATTGACAAAAAAATCAAATTTACTTTTTGGAAAATCCAAAGAAATGAATAATACTATACAAAAGTTCACCCTAAGAGGTTTCATTTAAATGGCCACACCATAGGATTTTCTTCACATAATTATATAAAAGTTTTAAAAGGGACAAATGATCTTGCCAATTGTGGTCTAGTGACAAGGTTTAGTATCTTTAAAAACAACTCATTCGAAACTTAGAATCACAGGCTACACAAGCGTAGATAGAGAACCGAAAAGAGTTTAAAGGGCAATTTTGTTAACCTGAAGATGGCAAACTACTGTGAAATACAAAGCTCATCGATCTGAAGCGATCATACTATGTGCTGACTTTTTCGCTCAGTTCACTATACGCGTATCGAATCCCTTCATTCAGTGTTCATTTTACTCCTTCTGACGTAATCAATCGAATGGAGGACAAATCGCCGCCGCACGATATTACTTTATGTTATTAAATTAAACAACTGAAGATTTAAACGGTGCCAATAATTGGACGAATCGTGTGCAACGGATAAGCAATGACTTAAACGATAATATGAAAAGGAAGTTGATAAATTAACCGCCTCTTACCTGGCAGTTTCGACGAGTTATTTCTTATTGATCCTGAACGGCAAATTGACCCAAGGAGAGTAGCAAACAGAAGGCTTGATGCTAAAACGCTAGTTTGAACCGCCATTGTACAAACAAACAGCTTATGTGTAATATTTTTTACTCAAGGCACCTTCGTGAGCAATTTGAACCGGAAAAGTCTTGCCCTGGGGATGTACACGACGGAATTTCTACAAGAAACAACTTGTTCAAACCAGTGAAGCCATCTCTTCTACCTTTCGAACCGAGTCTGATATCAATATCATTTCGTCACGATTGATATAGCTCCAATACTCGCGTCAATACTTCGTTTTCGACGGTTTACATAACATTGACTTCCCTTCTTAATTCACACGTCAACATTACAACAATATTCGTATCAAATTTACCCTCTAATCTCTCGTTAACTCTCTATGAAGGCGAATAGGTCAGCTTCGTTCTGAATACCAAGAATGCCATTTAAAGACCTTAATTTAGTGGTATCCGTGGTAATCAGACTAAAAAGTCTTTCAGCTTGTTAATTTTCTGGACTATATGTTAGAGTACATTCTTTATTAGTTACATAAAAGTAAAAAGTTAGGCAAATCCTTTTGCGGATCATTTCTGCCATAGCAACAAGGTAGAATGTTCGAATGACCGATGTCTACTCAAGTCCAATAAAACGCTGTTTATAAAAAATTCTAGCCTAAACTACTCACATCATAAAGCGGAGTGCAAAGTTGTCGATTGTTGTTTCAGTTTGTACAACATACATATATACCATTTTCATTTCTCAGTTCCATCGGTTTAGACCGGTTGTTTTTTCTCGTCTTCAACTTCCCGTTTTGGGAAGGGCCGGATCCCGAAAATTCTGCAAGTGGGGCCGAAGTTTGTGGAGTTAAGATATTATTAATGACTAAAGGCCTCTGAAGGCGTTTGAGTATAGAAATTAGCTAAGCTCTGGAAAACAGACATTTGGAGACATTTTTAAAAGAAAATAAACAAATATCCAAGACAAAAAAAGCGCGCGAGGTGGGGGGCGCCTGTTCTATGGTTAATTATAACTTCAGTCTGATCCCAGATCTGACCAGATTCCGGCATCCGCTTTGACTCCGGCGGCGTCTATTATAAAGGGGTAGCGGGGAAATACAGGAGACGTTCAATGAGGTATTGAGATCTGAGGGAAATGACACGGTGCTAAACAGTATCCTGTTTAGTATCAAGTTCTCGTCAAGTCATGTATTGCAACAGGTCCAACAGGAATATGGAAAACGCAGTGAAGGACGCCTGGGGACTACTCCTAGGAACATGCCTACATGGCTTATATCCCGGGAGGGAGGATCTATGAGAATCTTACAAGAGGCAAACTCACTTCTTGTAGCTCTTGATATGGGTCAAACCAATGGAGGGTAAAAACTAGCTGCAGAGGCAAAAAAGGATAACCAAGCCGATCATGCAGGTTTGACTACATGACATTTACCACTTGTGGGTGGCCAGAGCATTTTTGTTTTGGATAAAACAACGAAGAATTATCGAGAAAGGATATTCTTACACAAAGTTACTGAGGACTGAGCCAAGTATTTCTCTGCGGCGCTATGCTATCCGGGACATCTGTTGTTCTACAGGGAAGTGTTTTCGTTGTTTTGTCAGAGTGTTTGAGTGGTCCATAAATAAAGCAGTTGGCCAATGTGACCACCGTTTTCAAATGAAAGCTTCCCAGAATTAACCTTGGGAGTCCTGTGGTCTGGTAAAAAAGGCCCATACAAATAAATAAACGTGTTTCTTGTGTAGAGAGTTAAAAAAAATAAAATTAAAAAAAAATTTAAAAAAAAAACAATTTTACTTTATAAGCACTTATAGATTGTATCCAAAAAAGACAATATTTTTGACAGAATATTGACGGCGGCGCAAACAAATATTGATCAACTTTTTGTCCTTCAGGGTGTATATACATCATGATGACCTTAATTCAATAAAATGTGTCCCAAGAGATCGCACAATGCAAATGAGCTTCATGTCCAACTCTTCTCCCTTTCACACACTGACAGCCCTCCAGGGCAGTGGGCGAACTGAATATTCGCAAACGAACTTGGACTTGTCAAACCAAAGCAATTTTACTGGATTTGTCGTCGGTCGAGACCCCCTCTTAGAAAACATGTTTATTCAATATTTACGTGGATTTTCGTTTTTATATCGCGTTAGCCTGCTCGCTCAAGTAAGTGATTTGTTACCGAGATGATCTAGATCCGCCATTTGTCTTTAATTATGGTGATTAACAGAAACCTGCGACGATTTCCATAAAATGCACTATTGGAACGGCAAATGAAATCACAAAATTCAAAGAACAGCTCAGGGGTATACTATAAAGCGGCCAACATCTACTGAAGTTTATTTATGACTTGCGTTTTAATACAGGGGGTATTATTTTGGTGACCCGAGAGGAGGGTTTTGTTGACATGCATTTGCGTGGTTGATTACACAGGACATGAAATATCTCTCAACTCACGTACAAGTTTCGATACAGGTTGTATTTGAAAATGGCGTAAAATGATATTTTCTAATCTTTGCGGGATTATTTGCCACATCCCGTTTTAAGGAACAATAAGTAAGGTTAATTTAATTGATAACAGAGGAAGAGTGAAACCTCAGTTTTAGTCCTGTTTCCTATTTCCCGTGATGACCCCAGTTCCTACAAGTTCCTGTTTATTTATGCACTGGGAACAGAGTCTCCTTTGATTTTGTTAGATAAGAAAGATCGAAGGACACTCTGTACAGGCAACTCTGCTTGCAAAGTGTAGGAGACATCACTGTTTACAACTTGTTTTTGTTATTCAAATATGTGATGGGTGAAACAAAAGAACTAACGCTTCCGGTTAGAACATTGATATCAGTAGCTGACGTCAGCATGAGTATCCCAATGATTCTCTGTTTTTGTTTATTTAGTTATGCTTGGCAGAACGGTAGGTATTTGGTGGGGGGGGGGGTGAGGTGAAGAGAGGGAGGAGTGGAGGTTATGGTTGCATTGCTCCTGCAACTTCTCCATGTAAGTAGTGGGATCAAGATGAAGAGGGACATGTTCAAATGGTTATTTTTTGGGCCCCAGAGATTTTTGTTACCTCCTAGAGAAAATATAACAAGAAAATCTCCTGTGATTTGACCCATGGAAACTTGCCATATCTTAGGATATAACTTTTTATTATGTTTTTATCTTATTTCTTTAATACTAGTTTCTTCCTGTTATATTGTATTTCAAATTATGAAATTTTTCTTTTATTTATTTTTATTTTTTTACCGCTATTATTAGTCTTGATTACCATATAAGCTAGATAGTTACGTTTATGACAGTCGATAGGAACAGGTAAAATTGTCAATTCTTGTGCTAATTATTGTTAGTTAATCACTAGTCCTAATTTTTATAAATTTTAATTATCACACGGCATGTCTGGAAAACAGCTTGCTGAGCCATTTACCGTGTTCAAATAAAGTTGATTGATTGATTGATTGATTATGAAAATTGGGTGGGTATGCCAACAGATAGTTGACATGAATCAAAATTTGAAAACCAATAGAAATAGTACCAAAGGGAAAAAAATAACACAAGGAATTTTTTGAGATCACCCTGTATCATGTTAATGGTGATCATATTTGCTTGATGATAAATACCAGGCATACTTCAGTCACTGGGGGCAGATGCCATCCTTGCATTGGTGAGTGACCCTTTGCCCCCAAAAGGAAAGTGAGGCCAAAATTGATGACCTGTCGTAAGCTTTCTATAGTCTTGATGTCATTATATTTCTGCTAGACAGTTATGTATGTCCCTGTAATTTCTGAACTTCAAAAGAGTTTGTTGTATTTTACTGTCAAAGTTTCAACCTATCTTCATGTCATTTGTCGCCATTTCATCTGTCTTATGTCGCTGTTTCAAGGCCATGTCCCTTGTCGAAATTTACCCCAACAGGGTCTGAGTCCCAATGATGTTAGTCTCATGTATTCATTTTATTATTGTTTTATCGTTGTTTTATTAGCTTGTAGCTACCAATCAGCTTGAACAGGCCACTCTGAACCCAGAAACCATTCAGCGCTTGATATCTATGGCAGAGCTTCAGGCTCCACGGATGAGATCAAGGACTATGGAAAGCCTCCAGATTTACACCTGAAGCATGACTGATACTGACATGCCTCCTTACAGGTGAGAAAGACCAAAAAGAAGGCAAAAACCATACCCATCGGTGCAGTACCTGTACATACCAATTAATATGTAGCTTATTAAGGGAGTTAACAACACCCCCTTACCCCTCACCCCTCCTCCCACTCACTCCCCCACCCCCACTAACTTCCCTCCCCCTCACCCCAATAGACCGATATGAAATCCATGCACAATAATATTGACAGCCTGCTCTCTGGTTAGAGTAGGGCACTCTAAAACTCATAATTAAGGGAAACTTAAGTTTCTCTTTGCAAAATATGGACAAATGAAATTAAGTACCATGTGAAGATAATGCTGAAGAGGTTATGAATGGCAACATTGTAGGATTTTGTGCACAGAATCAAAAGTTACAACAACCTTGTAGAGCATATAAAAAACAGTACCACATAGAAGTGCTGCCACACCTCTTACCCACTGACTCCAGATCAAGCAAAAACTATATTACAACTGCTGAAAATGCCAATGAAACATTCCTGGCATTTTATAACCCACAACTCTGAAACTATCAGTTAATACTCAGAGTCAAGGAGTTGTCAAAAGTAAACCATATATAGAGTTATACAGGTTTTTAAATTCTGCATAGTACCCATTATACTGTATAGTGGGCTCAGCATGAAAAATTGTTACCAGAGGTACGGCAAGAATTAAGGACAGATCACACTATATATTAATGGCTTCTAGTCTTGACTTCTTTAAGGATGGCATACAAGCAAAAAAGGACACTTCCTATGATAAAAATTTATTTGTATCCAGTATTCAACTGACACTTTGTATCTCTGTTCATTTCTTTTTAGAAAGCTAGCATACACACATGTATGTTATGAGCTGAATTAAGAACATTCGAGGACGCGTGCAGTGCCCCGACAATAATTAATACAATAGATTTCTTGGAGGAATACAGA